ATGATTATTCATGAAACCCACAGAAGGCTCACGTCACATATTGGATATGTTTGGATCCCACGCAAGTCTCTCTGATTCCCATCCTTCATCATCCTTCCTCCTTCCATTCCACCTCTCCATCTAAGCCATCGGACGTTTCTCAACCGGTGCAGGCCACTGCTTCATGATGATCTTCATGGGGATATCTGGGCCCAGCTTGGCACATGCCCGGATATTGCGAGAATTACCAACAACCCTCCAGAATTGCCGCGAAAAATCCAGGTTTCCAATCCTACACATGGCCTGCTGCGTCCTTTCACAAAACGGAGATTCAATGACAGGAAACAGGACCAGCTGCGAAACCATTTCCGCAGCATGCGGCCCAGCCTCCATGCTGTGTCACAGTGAGTTGTACTGCGTGATGGGTTCATGCATCATCAGCAGTGACAGCACCAGGTGCGCCGGTCTTCGGCACTCCAAACCTGAGGGTCGGCCATGCGTACGAAATAGGACAACTTTTTGATTCAGCCAGCAAACTATTTAAGCAACCAAACTGGATGTGACCTTTGGGATGGGTTCGATATGACATGCGCAAAATAATGGAGTGATGGATCTCCGATTGGGCTTTACATTAGTCGTCACAAGGGTCGACGTCAACCAAGAAAGTTTGGAATAGTCCTTCAACCTGTGTCTGAAAGCAAACACTGAAGAGAATATGAGGAATAATCAATCCGATCCTCTCTCCTCTTTGTCAAAAATTCAGGAACATTCCTTACCTTCGAATGCAAGCACCTGGCAAACGATGCCACACCGCAGCCTCCTTCAAAACACCTCCCCGCGAGTTCATTTTGATTTTCCGGACGTTTCATTTCTCGTCTGGGCCAACGTCCGGCAGGTCTTCCCACCACGAGCCAATTTCACAATCAGAGGCCAACCCCAGTTTCACCCTTTTGCAAGAGAGTTGAAGAACTTCAACGGACGTAGAAACACCACGGAAACAAACTGAAACAGGCCGCTGATCTTAGCCGCTTACGGCCAAGGAAACTTTAACCGCAACAATTTTGTGGACAGCTGACCCTGACTCCAGCCATTCAGTCCTCACGTTGTCAGGGTGGGTGTCTCTGAGTGCTCCGGGGAAGCTTCACCCAGCCACATTTTAAACGATGAAAACCCTTGAAAACGTGGACCGGAATTTGATGTGGCAGAGCCACCGAACACAATGATTCTGGTCACAGTTTTCAAGGACTAAGCTTATGACGCAAAATGCTTCTTTATGTACATAATTTGCACCACCAGTTGTAAATAGCTTAGTGGCTAAGTGGTGCAAATTATGTACATCGCACCATCAACTGTGCATCAATGCAGCGCATCTAAATTGGAAAGCTTCGCGCTACACGGTTCCACAAATCCGCTAAGATCCGCGAAGGAGGATGCGGAATGAGCAGTTGCCAGAACCTGTGGTTGATAGTGAATCACGCGCTTACTTTGAAAAATGTGGCCAATGGCCCTGACTTTAATTAGTATCTGCAAACCCTATCAACACCAATCAGCCAACAGGTTTTAGCGATTGCTCACATGAATTCAGGTTCTCGCACTGGTGGCAAGAAGAGGGCATCCCTGGCCCTTCGTGCACCTGTCCTGAAACCCCATCTGGGGAGTGCGGACAGCGATTTCCATTGGCAAGGCGCCCACGGAATTTTTTTCATGATCATTCCCAATTCCCAATCGCCAGCTTTCTGCATTGACCACATGGAAGAAATCAATGGTCCCTGCACGACCCATACACATAATAGTGTAAATGATATTCAATTAATATGTCATGATTCTTGGAATATACTTCCGTTCTCCTCATCTTGGACTCTGGGTTCACAATCTTTCCGATGTGTGATGTCAAAAACCCGAACTCCCCATGTTTGAAGCGACATTCCATTCCCCTTTGTTCGATGCTAGAACTCCCAAGATTTTTTTAATGGTTCACTGAGTTCACTGAGTTGAGTTCACCACATCATGACGGCGCGCCCGACGCTGGAAAGCCCACGGGTATTATTGGTCAATGATCAATAATACCCGTGGGCTTTCAAGCGTCGGGCGCGCCCCGACTCTTGGACTCGCCACCTTGCACAACGGCACTGAAAATGAAGTTGTCACCATCAAATGTCTTGTTCTTGGCATCAAGCATTGTCATTGTGCCAACCATGGGGATGAAATTGATTCAAAATACCAGCAAACTGCATGGAATATTCGAAGGAAGTTTAGAAATTAAACCCCCGACAATGTGGACAGATGAAAAACAGAGATGGGAAGAGTCAGAGAAGAGAAGAGGAGAAGAAAGAAGATCAAAGAGGAGAAATTCGAAAGAAAGAAGATGCAGGTGCGCGAAAAGGTAGAAAATTCACGAAACACTTTGTTTTCTGATGATTTGTGGCTCCAGAGGGTCAAAAAGTAGGCGTGCTAAAGCGGCGGGTGCGGAGCCATCAGGCCAGATAAGAGATGAAACAATTGCACGCCTTGTGGCTACTGCTACTACTACTACTACTACTACTACTACTCCTGCTACTACTACTACTACTACTAATAATAATAATAAATTACACTAACTACAACTTCCACTACAACTACAACTACGACTACAACTGCAACTACAACTACACTACATTACACTACACTACGCTAATTACACTACACTACGCTCCACTTGATTACACTCCACGTGGCTACACTACACTACACATCACTACACTCAATTACACTACTACTACTACTACTACTACTACTACTACTACTACCACTACCACTACCACTACCACTACTACTACTACTACTACCACTACCACTACCACTACTACCACTACTACCACTACTACCACTACTACTACTACTACTACTACTACTACTACTGCTACTGCTACTGCTACTGCTACTGCTACTGCTACTGCTACTGCTACTGCTACTGCTACTACTACTACTACTACTACTACCACCACTACTACTACTACTACTACTACCACTACTACCACTACTACTACTACTACTACTACTACTCCCACTACTACTCCTACTACTACTCCTACTACTACTCCTACTACTACTCCTCCTCCTCCTCCGACTACTACTACTACTACTTCTTCTACTTCTACTTCTACTTCTACTTCTACTACTTCTACTACTTCTTCTACTACTTCTTCTACTACTACTACTACTTCCTCTACTACTACTTCTACTTCTTCTACTACTTCTTCTACTACTTCTACTACTTCTACTACTTCTACTACTTCTACTACTTCTACTACTTCTACTACTTCTACTACTTCTGCTACTTCTGCTACTTCTACTACTTCTACTTCTACTACTTCTACTACTTCTACCACTACCACCACTACCACCACCACCACTACCACCACTACCACCACTACCACCACGACTACTACCACTACTCTTATTATCACCACTACTACCACTATTACCACTCCTAGTACTACCACCACTACCACCACCACCACTACTACTACTCCTATTCCTACTCCTACTGCTACTGCTGCTGCTACTGGTACTGCTACTGCTACTGCCGCTACCACTACGTACTGCTACTACAGCTACACTACACTACAAGTACACTACAAGCACAGCAACAACATTGCAACTACAACTACATCAATGACAACTACAGCTACAACTACACTACGGTACAACGACAGCTACAACAACTAAAACTAAAACTACAACTCCACCACGCTACACTCCACTTCACGACACTACACCACTACACTACACGACAACATTACAACTACAACTACAACATCTATTTACTACAGCTACAACTACAACATCTATTTACTACAGCTACAACATTACAACCACAACTACAACAACATCAACTACAACTACACAACAACTACACAACAACTACAACTGCAACTGCAACTACAATTACATTGCACATCAGTGCGCTACACTACACCACATTGCATCGAGCAGTTGTGGTTAAGGTGACCACTGCAACCACTCCGAAAAGCACAACTCCAACCACCTTTCGGTCCATCAATGGATTCGCTCTGCCATCCACGCATCACAACAACTCACCTCTCCTACAGTATCCTATCTGATCTTTGAAACTTCCGCCACCGCCTTGTGCGGTACTACTGGTATAGCAATACTGAACCATGCAGCTTGGGGTTCGACCCAATTCTGCGGTGCCTGCAAATTCCCTCTGCTTCCCAGGCTCAGCGGTGACCGCAATCACCTTGGCACCCGCCATGTGTCCGCCCTGGAATCAGGGCCGAGTTGACCAAAACAAAAGACAAGCACTTGACTAAGACTCCACCGCAGCACAAATGCTCAAACGATCTCAAAGGTCAGCAGTTGGCCTACGAAACTCATCGCCTTCAGCCCCAGTTCCAGCCTCGAACCCTGGCACCGGGATTCCAACCTCCTCCCCCATCAAGGGGGTTGGGAACGGTCCGAAGGCGAAGCCGTGCTTCCCAAGCGGAATAGAGCCGGGAACCTCAACAGGATCCCAGGGCTTGGGGGGTAACCAGTGGCTCCAAGCAAGCGCTTTTTGAGTCTTTTTGGATTCCTTTGGGGAAGATCTTGACGCAGTTGGTCGTTTCATGTCGTTAGTCGTTTGACTGTAGTTCTGAAACACTTCACGTGAAGCTGCTACTGAAGTTGCAACGGGCACCACAAATACTGCAGCCAAATGACAGGATTTGTGAACTGGGGAACATTCTGCTGCATGATGAGCTACTGGCAGCAGCAGCTTATGCAGAACATGCAGACAAATCCGGTCCTTTCCGGATTTGTCTGCATGTTCTGCATAAGCTGCTGCTGCCAGTAGCTCATCATGCAGTGCATGACTTGGAGGTTCCAAGCCTCCTAATAGTCAAAACTGGTACGACAAGAGCGATAACAAGAGTCAAAGAGGTGGTCAATGCCATCGGAATGCTGCCTGTGAAACACCCAAACGAAAAGATACAAGATTTACAGTTCCTGAATACTCTCCTGTCCTTGGATCCCAGTTATCGTATTTATATATCATAATTATCCCATGCTACTTGCGTCCCTGAATACTTTCTGAACCAGAGGCAGCTCCGGCTCCTGCTGGCAGGTAAAAGTCATGGGGGCAATCGCAGCACGAAGCGGAGTCAGCCGATCAGTTTTCTCTAACAGCTTGAACAACATGTTGCGTTCATATATCGCAAGCCTCTCTGATCCCCATCCACCATTTCACCTGACCATCTAAGCCATCGGACGTTTGCTTGGAGATTGTTGGAACGGATGATGTCATGAAATTACATGCTTTTCCATATCCCCCAGAATCGGCATTGATTATTGATTAAATTATTGGTAGTAAAATCCAAGGTTCTCATTCAGTAGATCACTCTCCTGCAAGTTTCCCTCCAATCCGTGAGCCATGGATGGCACCTGCCACAACTGCGCCGCCCCACGCTCCATGAAGTTCGTAGATGATTGGATGATCGTTCAAAGGGACTGGGAAAGTCCTACGAACTCGACACCAAACGTCAGCGCAATTCGGATCAGAGCTTTGAGATATAGAAAAATGTCGCTGGAAAACGTTCGGTCATTATTCAATATGATTCAATAAATGTCAATAAATTGAGCAACCAAAGACCTTGAAAAATTGGTCATGCAGATACTTTATGCTCAAATCGAACCGTCCACGCAATGCGTTTTTGGTGAAAAACTCCTGACTGGGGCCCCCATTGTTCCCATCCCCCCATGGCCTGTTTGCTGTACCAGATCTGAACTTGTGGCTGTCAAGGCATAGAAAAGCACAGCCACACAAAAAAAAGTCGGCAAAACTTCGTGAAGATGTCCCTGAAGTGACGTGTTGACATATCTCTCTGGCTTGCTAGACACGGGTGCCACAAGGCTGCCGCTATGTTGAAGAACAAGTGGTAAATCATGCCAAAACATGAGAAGACTTGAAATATCTTGAAATATTCAGCGACAAAGTCGGCTGCCGAAGACCCAAATCCTCCCAAAATCGGTTCCTACGGCGGTTGCAATCGATGGCTCATCAGCACATCCCATGGATAGAGGCACCTTGGCCAGGCAGCCATTTGGGGCCAACCAACCAACAGTAGGATATGATTTGATGTAGTCACCAAGAACGGTTGAAGAACCCACAGTACCAAGATGAAGCTGCAAGTAGAACCAACAAACATCGCTGACATGGCGTGTATGTAAATGTTTGCTTGGATACCTTGTGGTATCCGTTGCACTTGCGCCATCTGATAGGAGACAATTCGGATCAAATGGACTGGCGAACCTTGCAAACTGGCCACTGCACAGGTTGAGTTGTTCAACAGCAGCAGAGTAGACTCCCAGCATTGGAACGCTGTGGACACTGCTCCAAAGCAAAGAAGGTGTTGGTTCTGACCTGTGCAAAACCTCAAAGCCTGTCACACAACTGGAACAGCAGGGGGCACACCACTCTTAATTTGGTTTCCCAAAGGCTGCAGTTTTTCTGTTTCTGAGAGAATCAAAGCAGCCCTTGGATTCATACCATGCATCCCCCTCGCTGGAGCTGGAAGCGCGCGACATGTACCTGGAGCTGCAACATCTTCGAATACAGATTCAGTATTCTGTATGCCAGACCATATCGGCATAGCCAAAAGCTGGGAGTTTGACAAGCTTGACGACTAATCAACTTGCATCCAGGACCAGCACGTGCTGCGAAAGGTCACAGAAAAGCCTCGACACAAACCTACTTGAGCAATTAGTTTTTTATTTTAAGTTGTAAATCGCCAAGTCCAAAGAATACTGTTTTGCCATATCTTGCCTGCGACCAGTCTCTGAGATGGGATTTCAAAGTGATTCACGAAAACACGATGGAAACCTGGCACTAGCAGAGTTCCAACCTCAGTTCCCAACAGTATATCATGTGTCCACTCACTCAAAAACAAAAAATGGTTGGGGGGGGCATGACTTCCACGAACTGACAAGTATTTCAGGATAGTTCATGATATTTCATGATAGTTCATGGATACTCATGGGCAAGCAGCAAGAGTTTTTTGTCCTTCCGCACAGGAAAGGCCAAGGCCAAGGGCAGTTGCAAGGCCAGCAGCATGAGCGCAAGCCTAGCCACGAAACACGACGATGCGAAGTCTACCTGAACAGCCATGCTATGGATAGTTGTATCACATCATATTACTTGCAAAAAGGTTTATATTCATGTGTATATGATATAGAATCTGTATACTAATATGTACACTTATAGTTATCTATACATATATATTATATACACATTCATATGTGTATAAGATGTAATATGTGGTATGTAATATGTAGTATGTAATACGTAACAGGTAAGATGTAAATGTATATGTATGTATGCATATATATATATATATATATGCCTCAGCAGTTTACCAGTAGTACCGCACAAGGCGGTGGCGGAAGTTTCAAAAATAGGAAACCTATAGGAGAAGTTGGTTGTTGTGAATCAGGGATGGCAGAGCGAAGCCACTGATTGACCGAAAGGTGGTTGGAGTTGTGTTTGCTGGAATGGTTGCAATGGTTGCAGTGGTCACCTCACCCAAAACTGCTGGATGTAGTGTGATGTACTGCAACTGTAGTTGTAGTTGTAGCGTAGTGGAGTTGTAGTTGTGGTGTAATGTAATTAGTGTAGTGTAGTTGCAGTCATATAGTTGTAGCTGTAGTTGTATTGTAGTTGTAGTTGTAGTTGTTGGTAGTTGTAGTTGTTGTGTGGTTGTAGTTGTTGTGTAGTGTAGTAGTAGTAGTAGTAGTAGTAGTAGTAGTAGTAGTAGTAGTAGTAGTAGTAGTAGTAGTAGTAGTAGTAGAAGTAGTAGTAGTAGTAGTAGTGGTAGTAGTAGTAGTAGTTGTTGTTGTTGTTGTAGTTGTAGTTGTAGTTGTAGTTGTTGTTGTTGTAGTTGTAGTTGTTGTTGTTGCTGTTGTTGTTGTTGTAGTTGTAGTAGTAGTAGTAGTAGTTGTTGTTGTTGTTGTTGCTGTTGTAGTTGTAGTTGTAGCTGTAGTTGTTGTAGTTGTAGTTCTAGTTGTAGTTGTAGTTGTAGTTGTAGTTGTTGTGTAGTTGTAGTTGTAGTTGTAGTTGTTGTTGTTGTTGTTGTTGTTGTTGCTGTTGTTGTTGCTGTTGTTGTTGTAGTTGTTGCAGTTGTAGTTCTAGTTGTAGTTGTAGTTGTTGTGTAGTTGTTGTGTAGTTGTAGTTGTAGTTGTAGTTGTAGTAGTTGTTGTTGTTGTTGTTGTGGTTGGTGTTGTTGTCGAAGTTAGGGTAGTTAAGTTAGTGAAGTTAGTTAAGTTAGTCAAGTTAGTTAAGTTAATCAGTGTCTACTTTTTCGACATCTTCACGTCAAAAAAGGCTCAAAACCTCAGTTTTTTACACTTTTGACTTCGAAATGTGCTTCGCGCCACAACGGCGTGCACTTTTTCGACACTTTTTCGACATCTGAACCTCCAAAAGTGGTCCGAGCATGGTGTGTTTTGTACATTTTGACTTGGAAATGTGCTTCGCGCCACAACGGCGTGCACTTTTTCGACATCGCAACCTCCAAAAGCGGTCCGAAGCTGAGGTGTTTTGTACATTTTGACTTGGAAATGTGCTTCGCGCCACAACGGCGTGCACTTTTTTGACATCTCAACTTCCAAAAGCGGTCCGACGCTGAGGTGTTTTGTACATTTTGACTTGGAAATGTGCTTCGCGCCACAACGGCGTGCACTTTTTCGACGTCGCCACTTCCAAAAGTGGTCCGAGAATGGTGTGCTTTGTACATTTTCACTTGGAAATGTGCTTCGCGCCACAACGGCGTGCAATTTTTCATCTCTCCTCTGGCCAGCTGGCTCCGCACCCGCCGCTTTAGCGAGCCTACTTTTCGACCCTCCGGAGCCACAAATCATTGGAAAAACACAGTGTTTCGCGACTTTCCTACCTTTTCGCGCATCTGTATCTTCTGTCCTCTTACTCTTTCTCTTCTGATCTTTCTCTTCTCTATGCCTCTTCCCTGCTCTGCTTTTCATCTCTCCATATTGTCGGAAGTTTGACTTCTAAACTTCCTTCGACCATAGTTTACCCTCAAGCATGGTTATTTGAGCTTTGTGTAGATGCCAGGATTGCGCCAGAACTGAGAGCCTAGCAAGCAGGAGACAACATAGACCAGTGCAAAGTACAGCAGCACCATAGTGAAGGACATTGGCAGCCTAAGGGCAGCCGAGTCAGTATTTTTGTAAGTCATCAGCATTCCCTTTTGGAATGCAGACCAAAAGATATGTGAAACATTTAAAACCACCGCAGTTGTCACCTTCAAGTTCCCCATCAAAAAAACCGGTGACTTGCCGGCTCTCAAATTGCATGGTGCTTCGTAAGAACATGTAAGAACCGTAAGATCTGCTTTGGGAGCTTCAAATGAAGAGCAGGTTGCCAGTGGAAAGCGTTCAACACCCTCCAAGGATCTCCAAGGAACGGTTCATCCAAAAGGGATCCACCGATGAAATGGAAAACGAAGAGATTGGAGACGTTCACCCCCAGAGAGAGTCTTGACCTGCAACGCGGAGGGGGATTTTTTTGAGAAATTCCTTGAGGGGCTTTCATGACGAGCGAACTGCATCAGAATTGAGAAACTGGGGTGGATAACAAAAGAGCATGAAAGAACTTGATTCTCTTGAAAGAAAATCGAAATTGCAATGATTTGCAATGATAGAGTGAGCACGGATTCAATCTTTTTACGAGTTCCATTCGAGTTCGGACCTGGTGCTCTGTCCCCTGTTGAGTGATGTGGTTTCCTTTTAGACAGAGGAATCCCAACTTTGGAGTCATGTGGGACGGTGTGAAGTGTATGGTGCGGAAACCATGGAAAACCGTGACTGCTATTGATTGCCTAAAGCTTGTATGTGGGGTTTGAATGGGTTTCTCCCCATGCAAGTTGCATTGGAAACCAATCTTTTAGCTCAACATGTCTCGACAATAGCAAAACACATGCTGATGCAGCCTTCCCAAACATTCAGCTCATATCGTAAACTCTCAAACAAAATGCTGATTATCAAACTGCACTTGGAGACTTGAAAGGCAAAGGCAGAAACGTCCAACAAACATCCGTGGCTCTTAAAACTAGTCTGAACCACAACGTTCAAAAATCCCCCTTGGAGTTCGGTGTGTAACCTGGGTACCCCCATTTTATAGTGATAAAATGGTTTTGGGGGGGGGGGGCCCTCTATAAAATGGGGTGCCCAGGTAATTAGGGGGGTCTGCGCTGTCTATAAAATGGGGGTACCCAGGTTACTTACTTAACTGTCTGATTCGGCTGTCTGGGTCCATTTTGACCTTCTATAAAATGGGGATCAGGGTCCCAGGTGTGAAGTGCTGGGGGCAAACTCCGGTCATAAAAGAGAGTTGTTGATTTGGAAATTCTATTTTATAGAGGTGATAAAAGGTGAGAAATACAACAGGCCTGCCTCGCATAAAAACTGCACTTTTTCACAACTGCACTGAATATGTTTAAGATGATACATGTTGATACATGTTGATACAAAGCCTTGAAAAAAACAATGCAAACGGGCACTCTATAAAGTGGAAGTTCAGCCACACCACACATGGAAACACCCTATCTATAAAATAGCACCACAACATTGCACAGCCAACATTGTGCTATAAAGTGGAGGCCTGTGCCACCCCTACTAAATGAACAGCTTTCCTGCAGTAAGGCCCCAAGTGGCCTCTATAAAGTAGTACTTGCCCAAAAAAAAAATAGATAAAACATATCCTGGTAAACCATTCAAGAACCACTCCAAACATTCTGTTTTCCATTTTATAGTGCCTGAAAAAATGGTTTAGCAGGGTACCTGGGTGCGACCATTTTATAGAGGAAATGGCCACCAGGATTGTTTAAGATTGTTTGTATATATTGTTTAAAAAAAACCTCTGATAACCTTTCTATAAAATGGAGAGCAGAACGGTTTTGCAAGGGCTTGCCTCTATAAAATAGAAACGCATGGGCGCCTGTGATTGGAAAGCTAGGAAGCCCTTCTATAAAATGGAGAGCAGAACGGTTTTGCAAGGGCTTGCCTCTATAAAATAGAAACGCATGGGCACCTGTGATTGGAAAGCTAGGAAGCCCTTCTATAAAATGGGGAGCAGAACGGTTTTGCAAGGGCTTGCCTCTATAAAATAGAAACGCATGGGCACCTGTGATTGGAAAGCTAGGAAGCCCTTCTATAAAATGGAGAGCAGAACGGTTTTGCAAGGGCTTGCCTCTATAAAATAGAAACGCATGGGCACCTGTGATTGGAAAGCTAGGAAGCCCTTCTATAAAATGGAGAGCAGAACGGTTTTGCAAGGGCTTGCCTCTATAAAATAGAAACGCATGGGCACCTGTGATTGGAAAGCTAGGAAGCCCTTCTATAAAATGGGGAGCAGAACAGTTTTGCAAGGGCTTGCCTCTATAAAATAGAAACGCATGGGCACCTGTGATTGGAAAGCTAGGAAGCCCTTCTATCAAATGGGGAGCAGAACGGTTTTGCAAGGGCTTGCCTCTATAAAATAGAAACGCATGGGCACCTGTGATTGGAAAGCTAGGAAGCCCTTCTATAAAATGGGAGCAGAACGGTTTTGCAAGGGCTTGCCTCTATAAAATAGAAACGCATGGGCACCTGTGATTGGAAAGCTAGGAAGCCCTTCTATCAAATGGGGAGCAGAACGGTTTTGCAAGGGCTTGCCTCTATAAAATAGAAACGCATGGGCACCTGTGATTGGAAAGCTAGGAAGCCCTTCTATAAAATGGGGAGCAGAACGGTTTTGCAAGGGCTTGCCTCTATAAAATAGAAACGCATGGGCACCTGTGATTGGAAAGCTAGGAAGCCCTTCTATAAAATGGGGAGCTGAACGGTTTTGCAAGGGCTTGCCTCTATAAAATGGAAAAATTATGGAAAACACATTGGCACCTGGGAGATCCTGGGATGGGAAAGCTAGAAAGCTGGAAGTTAGGGAAGGCGCTTTACCACACAACCCAAGATATCCATAGAATTCCATAGATATTCTAAGAATTCCTAAGATTCCCCAAACATCCCTAAGCCATCCCAGACCCAAAAGCCCCCTCAAAAAAAACATCAAACATCATCAAAAATCTCCAAAGCCCCAGCACTTTCCCAGATTCTGGGAAGCCCTCCTCTATAAAATGGGGAACCAGCTCGTATCTTACCACAAAGCACCCATTTTATAGAGGCTCTTGGTGGTAGAGGCCCAAATACCCATTTTATAGAGGTAGTATAATATAAATTTGTAACATCATGTAACATATTGTAACATCAATGTTCGTGCTTGTATGTGCTTGTAGTATCTTGTATGTTCTTGGATGTTCTTGTATTATACCCCCCTAAAAGTAGATGGCGCAACTCCAAAACCAAAATACCCATAAGATGGCACCGCGCGGTGAGAAAGAAAACGGCGCTATTTTTTGCCGGAGCATAAAACGAGTTCAGCCACTTGAAAAAAGTCACCCTACTTTAAAATGAGAAGGTAGATGGTGCAACTCGTTTTGAGCCTATGTTGAGCCCGAAACCGACCCAAAATTCAACCTCAACGGAGCCATGCTTCCGCTGGGGTTGAAATTTTAGGCCCGAAAGCCGCCAACAGAGCCCTCGATTGTATTCAATTGGTTTCTCTTTTTACTTGCCAAATCTTGCCAACATGTTTGATCTTTTTGAACATTTTGGAGCCATGTGTTGCTGCCGGTCACAATCCAAGCATTAGTCTCTATAAAATGGGGACCAGGGTTAAAAGAGCCCCCAAAAGTTACCCCAAAAAGTCCCTCTATAAAATGGGGACCTGGGTTGACCTTGCAACATGCCAAAAACACCAAAAAGTGCTTCGTATTTCCCAAAAAAAAAAAAAACATTTTATAGAGGGATAAAATGGTGGGTTATAAGGGTACCCGGGTACCTCTATTTTATAGAGGAAATTGCCACGGGATGTTCAAAAACTGTAAATATAGAATAGACAATATACAATAACATACAATAGTCATGGTATATGCAGGTGACAGTCTTCTTTAGAACCAAACAACTCAAGGCAGCGCTTCACACTAGGCCGCCGGGCAACAGCCGGATGCAGCTTCCCGGGCACCGACGGCTTGGCCGCAGCAGGAGGAGAAAGCCCAAGACCTTTTTTGTCGCAACGGAACTGACTCGTTTGACCAGGGAAAATATGGCAGTGTGTCAAAACCTTGTACCCCTGCTGAACATCAAAATAGCTGGTAAATGGATGTTCATCCCCCTAAAAATGGTATTAATAGGTATTGATCCATACCCACATGGCAACCCCGAGGCACATCCCATGGAAAGGTGACAGATTGGTTTCAGCATTGATTTTGCTGCCTCGATCGGACACACTGAGTCACTGGGATGGCTGGTTATCCCGACCCATATGTTGAAAAATTGATTTTTGGGATTCAATACTGGGATCTTGGAGGCATTTTTGTTGGGATATAGTAACATTTTTCTGCTCAGCAATTGTCTCCCAGGTCCCGGACGAAAAGGAGCTCAGAGACCTGCAACAGGACATGTGGAAATGTCGTAGGAAAGCAATGGATCCAAGGGGCCTCAATTTCTGGATTTTCTGTAAGCGAATCAAGCAACAAGCGAACGCACAACATCAACTGAGCCCTGAAGAAAAAGCGGTTCATGGTCCAGAGTTAGTTTGATTCCATTCTGTTGCAAGATGTTGCAAGAGTTTGATTGTTCGTTCACGTTCGAACAGGCTGGCTTATCTGTGCAAAGTAAAAATGCTGAATCTTGTCACTCCGGCCGCTCATCTTTGAGGCCCCAAACATTGAAGATCACAGCCCTTTGCAGCGGTTTGAAGTGGACTTGGAGATTGTCACCAAAGAAAAGTTGGTCCTTCCGGCTCGGTATGCTTGGTCCAGTTCATATGCAATAGGCAGGTGATTTTTCACTGGGGCACTTTGGCATGTTAGGTCTACACATGTGTGAATAAGCAAATGTTCTGCCTATGTTCAACGGTTCCTGAGAGGCACTGTATCACATGATTCACATGTCTGATACAGGTGTGAACCTCAAGTAGATGGACCAGCAGCTTGGCCGGAAACCCTCTGCGTTGCATTTGCCGCATTTGCATGTCATATCTAAAGATGTCATAAGATGCCTGGATCATATTTCATCTGCGCCTAATCCGCAAAATCAATCTGATCATTCTAATCTCAGTGGTAAATCCGCGAGGGTGGTCCCGAACTTTTGGCCCATCCCCACGCCCATCTACTGTCTTGAAAGGCTCCTGAAGACATGAACCAGAGACCAGTGCCAAACCCACCATATCATACCACCAACTCGTGCCTGCAGCAAGGGCCATCAGGTTGGCTTGACATTATACGCACCTTTGCACATATGCAAACCTTCACCAAGGGAATTTGAACACATATGTATATGCTGAACGAATTGTAGACCTTCAGGCGATCTTTCTTCGCCCTGCCTGCGCCTCTGAGGCATGGCAGGAGACCCCAAAGGCCAATGGCACCTTGCTTTGGTCACGGCACAAAAATTGTTGTTTTGTGGCAAAACGAACGAATACCCCACAAATGGACCGAAACATACTTTATACGCACAATATAATATATATTACCAAAGGAAGTTGGGAAGCAATTTTCCGAGTTACGGATGATTTTTACTCAATGAGGGGTGGTGTGAAACTTTACATCGCATAACAATACATTCATGAAAGGCGGCGTGAGACTTTACATCACATAACAATACATTCATGAAGGGCGGTGTGAAACTTTACATCACATAACCATACATTCATTTAGGGTGGTGCGAATTTTTGTCATGTTTTGTTGCCATGTGCGTAAAGAGATGCGTGTTTGCCAAGTGATGTTGCAAAACGCATTGTAATGGTTGCATGAATGTTGCATGGGGCTTGTGTTGGGGAGGAAGCCGGAACACGAAACCTTGCGAGGTTTTCCGTGTAAAGTGGCTGCAGGCGGCGATGAAGCAGGTACCTCGTCTGTGCGGCGGTTGCGGACCGTTCGCTTTGACGTGTGATTGGTTCTCCCTTGGTGTTCTGCAACGCGTGGGTGCAAATCGCAATGACATGGCTGCATGAATGCGTATGTGTTGCTGCAAAACGCATTGTAGTGGCTGCAAGAATGTTGCATGGGGCTTGTTTTGGGGGGGAAGCCGGAGAACGAAACCTTGTGTTTTTCCATGCAAAGTGGCTGCTCGTCTGTGCGGCGGTTCCAGACCGTTCGTTTTGACGTGTGATTGGTTCTACCTTGGTGTTCTGCAACGCGTGGATGCAAATCGCAATGTAATGGCTGCATGAATATGTACCTGCTGCTGCAAAACGCATTGTAATGGCTGCATGCCTGTTGCATGGGGTTTGTTTTGGGAAGGAAGCCGGAGAACGAAACCTTGTGTTGTTCCGTGTAAAGTGGCTGCAGGCAGCGATGAAGGGTACCTCGTCTGTGCGGCGGTTGCGGACTGTTCGTTTTGACGCATGATTGGTTCTCCCTTGGTGTTCTGCAACGCGTGGATGCAAATCGCAATGTAATGGCTGCATGAATATGTACCTGCTGCTGCAAAACGCTTTGTAATGGCTGCATGCCTGTTGCATGGGACTTGGGTTGGGAAGGAAGCCGGAGAACGAAACCTTGTGTTGTTCCGTGTAAAGTGGCTGCAGGCGGCGATGAAGGGTACCTTGTCTGTGCGGCGGTTGCGGACCGTTCGTTTTGACGTGTGATTGGTTCTCCCTTGGTGTTCTGCAACGCGTGGGTGCAAATCGCAATGTAATCGAATATGTACCTGCTGCTGCAAAACGCATTGTAATGGCTGCATGGCTGTTGCATGGGACTTGGGTTGGGAAGGAAGCCGGAGAACGAAACCTTGTGTTTTTCCGTGTAAGGTGGCTGCAGGCGGCGATGAAGGGTACCTTGTCTGTGCGGCGGTTGCGGACTGTATGTTTTGGCGTGTGATTGCTTCTCCATTGTTGTTCTGCAACGCGTGGATGCAAATCACCATGTATTGGCTGCATGAATGTGCACCTGCTGCTGCAAAACGCATTGTAATGGCTGCGCGAATGTTGCATGGGGTTTGTTTTGGGGAGGAAGCCGGAGCACGAAACCTTGTGTTTTTCCGTGGCAGCAGCCGGCAATGTAGGGTACCTTGTGTGTGCGGCGGTTGCGGCTGCGGTGGTTCCAGGTGCGAATCGGTTCTCCCTTGGTGTTCTGCAATGTGTGGTTGTTCACGTGTGCGTAGGTAGTTATAGGGTGTTTTGGAATTCGGTTGCAGATCGCAGTGGAATGGCTGCATGATTGTCGTTATGTTCTGTTTCCATGTGTGTCGAGACATGCGGGTTCCTCGTGATGCTGCAAAACGCATTGCAGTGGCTGCATCAAGGTCTGCGGCTGTTTGCGTAATAATACTATTGTCTTTTGCAGCTGGGAGTCGTGAATGTGGCTGCATCAAGGTTGCGGCGATAATCCGATATATAGTGATTTCTGAGTGGGGGTGGCGATTTTCCTTTTCGAATTCCGTTTTCAAATCGTGATTTTTTCCCGTTGGCGCCGAGATCCATCCGGTTTTGGAGCTGCAATTTCTGACGCCGTTGCGCGTAGTTCTACTGTGCTTTGCAACTTAGTCTTTGCAGCTCGCATTGTAATGGCTGCGTCAAGGTTGCTTGGTGCCGCGGCTGCATGCGTAATACTATAGTTGCTATTGTCTTTTGCAGCTGGGCATTGTAAATCGTATTGGAGTGGCTGCATCAAGGCTGCGATTGCGATTTGTCAGCAGATTTTCTCAGTTTAAAAGCTTGCTGTGTGTAAAAGCGTTCTGTGTTTAAAAACTTGCTGTGTGCAAAAGTTTGCTGTGTGTAAAAGCTCTCTGTGTGTAAAAGTTTGCTGTGTGTAAAGTATTCAATGTGTAAAAGCTTTTCTCTGTGTGTGTGTAAAAGTTTGCTGTGTGAAGAAGTGGTTTGTGCAAGCTTTGTAGTACAAAGTAGTACTGGGACGTGTTTTGTTCAAGCTTTGCGGCACAAAGAACTGGGAAGTACTCTGTGCAAGCTTTGTAGTACAAAGTAGTACTGGGAAGTGCTCTGTGCAAGCTTTGTAGTACAAAGTAGTACTGGAGAGTACTTTGTGCAAGCTTTGTAGTACAAAGTAGTACTGGAAGTAGTACTGGAGAGTACTTTGTGCAAGCTTTGTACTGGGAAGTACTCCGTGCAAGCTTTGTGGTACAAAGTAGTACTGGGACGTGTTTTGTGCAAGCTTTGTAGTGCAAAGTACTGGAAAGTACTCTGTACAAGCTTTGACGTGCTTTGTGCAAGCTACGTAGGACAAAGTAGTACTGGGAAGCACTTTGGGCAAGCTTTGTAGTACAAAGTAGTACTGGGAAGTGCTTTGTGCAAGCTTTGTAGTACAAAGTACTGGGAAGTACTCTGTGCGAGCTTTGTAGTATAAGTAATACTGGGAAGGGCTCTGTGCAAGCTTTGCAGTACAAAGTAGTACTGGAGAGTACTTTGTGCAAGCAATGTAGTGCAAAGTGGTACTGGGACGTGCTTTGTGCAAGCTTTGTAGTACAAAGTAGTACTGGGAAGTGCTTTGTGCAAGCTTTGTAGTACAAAGATGTACAAATTATTTTGTACAGGCCTCTGTGTAAAGGCATCTGTGTCTCACCTTTCTGTACGCAAAAGCTTTCTGCGCCCAATGGTTCTCTGTGCAAGAGACTTCTCTCTGACAGTAAGAGCTGTCTGGCGTGCAGAACTGCTGAGATGAGTTGAGATGAACTTCGAGGAGATGAGAAAGGCTGATCAGTGCTCGGATGAGATGAAAACAGTTGAGAAGAATTTACTTAGATGGATGACATGTGAGAAGAGATGGGGTGAGATGAGATGAGGTGAGATGAGGTGAGAAGAGCTAAGATGAGATGAGATGAGATGAAATGTGGAGTGTGAAGTGCAAGTGTGAAGTGTGAAGTGCGGGGCGCGTGTGAAGTGTGAAGAAAATGTTCGCTTGGCAGTGCATCGCACCGGGGCCGCGCACAGGCCATGTTCTTACACAACAACAGTGCAACAAGTTCGCACAAAGCACGCACGCACGGACCTGGCTGGCGCACGGCGCATGCAAGTTCTATAGATGAAAAAGGTCTTATAGTCTAACTCTAAGGCAACTTCCGCCCGCCTCGTGCGGGTACTACTGGTATCAAAAAGGAAGAAACAGGTCTATCTGAGCCCAGAATCTACAAGTCTCAAGTTTTGAGATAGTTTGTGGATATTTGGGGGCTATCACAGAAACACTTGAGGCCATGGTACACAGAGCTGAAGGCAGCAACATTCTGAAGCGATGAGAATAGGCGTAGGCCTTGGTTGATGGCTCAAAATGGGGACAGTGTCGCAATGTGTCGCAGCGATTCAAACGTTTTCATGTTCAATCTCCTTCAGTCTCTGTTTTTTTTGCATGCTTGCCACCAATAAAAAAACCTTGAACTGGTAAAGTCAGATCCAAAGAAACATGCAATTCAAGAATCGAAGAGTTCAACGGGGCAAATGTGCAAAATGTCCTATGAAAAACCGGCCTGGTTTCGGGGCTACACGAGTTGAAACCATGCCCTGCTTGCAGGTGCGCTTTGGCCCCAGCGGCCCAGTCGTTCTCTTCAGACCTGACACCAGAATAGCGCCACAGAATCGAAGCATACCAAAGCAGCCACGACATCGAGGTCCTTCGAGAGGTTCCAAGAGCCTTTGTGGGACACCATGACGAGCCGCATTGCATGGCATTGCATCACGCGGCAGAAAAAATGTCGATAACCAAGATCAGCTATTCAATCATCACCATCATCTTCTTCTTCTTCTTCATCATCATCATCATCATCATCCTGGTCATCAATCGCCGTGGTCATCAACAACGACCACCAATAATCAAGACCTCAGGGGTCCACAACATCAATTTACATTGACAAAGATCCAATTTATTTGAACCATTTTAGGGTGATAAAATCCATATTTGGATTCCGAGTGAAACAGCCACTCACCACAACCACTACCGCTACTTAAGTGAGGCCCAATCCATTTGTCCAAACACGCCGGGACTTTGGTTTTTCGTATCTCGGCTGAGATGCAGAGAGGAGAAACACCACAAGGAGATCCAGCAGGAACTGGCTTTCAAATATATCCTGAGTCGCCGCTGGTGCCGCTGGTGTTGACACCCCCGGGCCCCATAGGCCAATGACTGTGTTGTCGGAATTATCTAAACATCTTTGGAAGGATATTGCGCCCTTTTCTTTTTTCCCCAAACAACACTGCTCTTGGGATTCTCAATTTTGCAAGGAACGGACCTTGATATGTATATAAATTGGCTGTTTCTTTATGTATCGTTATGTATGGCATAATCTATATCCACCGGCAGATATGTAGTGTATGAATCAAAGCATATGTATGTAAGTACATGTATTTACTGTAAATATGTGTATGTATACGTATATACATATATACATATATATATATATAGATTTATGTATATATAATATACATAGGTACAAATACAACGGTGTTCAAATATATACACGTATATCACCGTATATCATATATATATATACGTAATTTGAAACATCATCTGCGTGTATGCATGTATGCATGTAGGTAAGTATGTGTGTATTTGCAAATGTGTATATAATGCTCAATGTTTATCAATTTGTTGTGCACATCTTTGAAAGCACCAAGCAGACCATGTCCGCAGCTGCGACCGAGTCTCCATGTTGTGGCACGGTGAGTTGTTCCCCGTAATGGGCTCATGCAACAGCAGCAGTGACAGCACCAGGTGGGCCGGTCTTCGGCACTCCAAACCTGGGACATAGCAGTAGCAGTAGCAGGAGCAGTATGCCGCGGTAATGAAAGAAAGCATTTCCGCTTTGTGGCAATAACATAGTTCGATCACCCGATTGATAAAAATAAATGGGCTTAATTTGGTGGCGGCTCGTGTCGTCCAATCTAAATTTCGTTCCCGACATTTGATGTCGGTTCAAACAGCGTAAATACCGAAGGCAAAGCAATCCCAAAAACAACAACACATCAAAAGAAAAATCCTTGACGCAAAAAAAATACATTGCAGCTGCGTCGTGTAAAAAAAAAAGTCGGGTCTGTGGCAAAGATTTCTGGTGAGAAACAAAAAATTACAAACATAAAACAACATGAAAGAAACATCTGCGGACAAGGGATTTGCAGTGAAACCAGACCGAGCAAAGACTGGTGGAACTCTCACAGCGGGACTGACATGAAACAGGCAGAAGTGATTGAAACGATCAAATTTCTTTCCAATCCCCAAAGTCCCTAAATCCCAACAATGTCACATGTCTAGCATCGTGGTATTGTCTTTGCCAAACTACCAGGATCAGCAATGAACTGAATGAGAACAAGTAAAAAGTGGAAGGGGTGTGGGAAAATTGTTGCCCGATCCTCTCTCTGTCTATTAAAGTTTCAAAACCATTCGATCACCTGACAAATAGCAATGATGCAACACGACGCAGCCTCTTTTGAAGGAAGTCTCAAGTCCTGTTTGACTGTCCAAGCGATTGGGCCATGTCCTCTGCGGCCATACTTTCTGGGCCGCTGCTTGTCAAATTTCAAATCAAGCATTGGCTGGTGCAAAATCATTAGCTCGACGAGCTCTAATGATTTTTTTTGAGGGCAATCAGAGTTTCACCCTGTCGAGGAGCTGCAACGGACACGGAAACACACAAGCAGAAACAGACCGAAATGAGTCGCTGATTTTAGCCACTTGCAGCTTCGGAACATGTTGAAACCTAGGACCTAGAGGCCATCTCAACTGAGTAATCGTACAGGTTTATTACAATTCTTGTGGGCAGTCCCTGCGTGGCTCCAGCCATTCAGCCCTCAGGTTGTCAGGGTGAGTGTCTCTGGTCAGGAAGATCTTTTTGATGAGCCGACTGCAAAGATAGGATCCTGGAAATCTTGGACAATTTAAGGGTGTGGCAGAGCAACCGTCCCACAACAATTCCCGTCATGACTTCCTGGGGTCGAAGCAACAAATACAATATATACAGCTTGGCGCAGATTGTCTACATTGCACCAAAAACTGCGCATCAACGCAGCGCATCAATTGGAAAGTTTGGCACTACACGCAGATTCAACATTAACATCCGCGCAGGATGCGGAATGAGCAGTTTCCAGAACCTATAGCCACAATAGTTCGCAAAAGAATGGCCATTCACTGTGACGTGGTGGTACATTTTACATATTTTACCCCCTATCAACGCCAATCAGCCAACAGGTTTTGGCCATTGCTCAAATTGAATTCAGTTTCTCGCACTGGTGGCGAGCAGAAGGCATCTTTCTCGGCCCTACATGCACCTGTACGCACCTATAACATATGTATATATTATAACATGTATATGCTATATTTATGGTAGATTTATATACACATATAATATATACGTATATTACGAACAGGTGATTCTCAGCATGTTTGTGCCCACCCCAAATGACTGAGCACCACCATTGCAGGGTGGCCTCTTGCCGTTGGACGGACAGCGATGTCAAGGTCAATCCACAAGATTTGGTCCCTCAGAATCGCCATGTTCCACACCGACCTTCGGTTTTTCCTCGAATCGTTAAAATTTCCAAGATCAGGAAATGGGTTAGAATTTATTTCCGCACAACCAGGGTCTGAGCCACAGGGAATTCGTGCCAGGAGCTTCGTCGGGCGCGCCCCGACGCTTGGGCCCGCCACCTTGCCCACATGTACTGAAAATGATGATTTTACTCGGCCCTGATTTCAGGGCGGACAGACGGTGGGTGCCCAGGTGATTGCCGTTACTGCTGAGTGACCGCAATCACCTTGGCACCCGCCATGTGTCCGCCCTGGAATCAGGGCCGAGTTGACCAAAACAAAAGACAAGCACTTGACTAAGACTCCACCACAGCACAAATACTCAAACGATCTCAAAGGTCAGCAGTTGGCCTACGAAATTCATCGCCTCCAGCCCCAGTTCCAGCCTGGAATCCGGGCACCGGGATTCCGACCTCCTCCCCCATCAAGGGGGTTGGGAACGGTCCGAAGGCGATGCCGTGCCAGGCACCTTACGAAGATCCCAGGGCTTGGGAGGTAACCAGTGGCTCCAGGCAAGCGCTTTTTAGATTTCTTTGGGAAAGATCTTGACGCATTTGGTCGTTTCATGTCGTTTGACCATAGTTCTGAAACACTTCACGTGAAGCTGCTACTGAAGTTGCAACAGGCACCACAAATACTGCAGCCAAATGGCAGGATTGAACATGCAGCAGACCATTCCTGTTGCCTAGTTCACAAATTCTGTTCTGTGAACTGGGATTTGTGAACTGGGCAACAGGAATGTTCTGCTGCATGTTCTGCTGCATGTTGTGCACGTTCTGCATGGTCTGCATATTCTGCTTGTAGAATCCCATCATGCACTGCATGACTTTGAGGTTCCAAGCCTCCTTGTCATCAAGACTCACAAGACAAGAGCGAAAAGTAGTCAAAGACGTGGTCCATGCCATCGCAATGCTGCTGCTGCTGCATTTCTATGTCTTACGACAAGATGCCTGTGGAAAGACCCAAGCAAAAAGATACGAAAAGAAGCAAAGATTCATTGCCTGGATACTCTACTGTTCTTCGGTCCCCCGATATCTGCTGGCAGGTCAGTCTGGACTTTGCTTTCGCAATCCAAACGATCAGTTCCTTTCTGAACGACTCCGGCTGCTGCCAATGACACAAATAATTTGTGTCATTGGCAAAAGCAGGGACGCACGGTGGCAGAGTGGAGCAGCACTGAACAGCTTGAGGAAAAGGCCGCGGTGACACACCCAAGTACCTCCCGTCATGGTCATCCACAAGAAACTTCAAGCACTTTGATCCTCAATGGTGCAGTAATGTGCAGCAGGCGTGCTGGAGTCTCATAATGATTATTAATGAAACCCACAGAAGGCTCACGTCACACATTGGATATGTTTGGATCCCACGCAAGCCTCTCTGATTCCCATTCTTCCAATCCCACCATTCCACCTCTCCATCTAAGCCCTCGGACGTTTCTCAGAGTACCACCGGTGCAGGCCACTACTCTTCATGAGGTTGTTCATGGGGATGTCTGGGCCCAGCTTGGCACATTCTGCTCAGGGTGTTGGCAGAATTGATGTCAGTGAAATTTGTCCACAACCCGAATTGATACCAAAATCGTTCTGATGCACTAGATCACTCTCCTGCAGCGTCCCCTCACACCAATGGCACCCTGGCGCAACTGAGCCAAGGCCACGCTCGACGAAGATGTAGAGGTAGATGAAAGTCGAAAGGCACAGGGGAGGTCCTGCGAACTCCAGACATGACACGGTCACCCCCGGTTCAAAGAAGCGACGGTCACTATGGTCACTGGGATATTGATCTTACCATCTGGTTCTGACTCACATTTTTTGCCATGGAAAATCCCCATGCTTTATTTTAATAGGTAAACCATCTATTTCGATTAGGGCCATCTATACCATGGCTATGTTACATAACCAGAGGCTGCATCGTCTTACATGCATCTGCCCTGGCCTAGTTGCACCCAACGCCGCAAGGCTGCTTTGGCCACCGGGAAGCGGCTGGAGCTGCTTCCACCAAGGCGCAACTGCGTGGCAAGCACCACGAATCCGAGGTTCACCTGGCAGGGCCATGGAATTCGTTGGGGGTTGGGGGGTCCTTTTTGTCATGGTAACCGTAGTAACCCCAAAATGGCTGGAGAGTTTTTGGATGTTTTTTGGAACATGGAACTTCATGGAACATCCAATTTTTCGGAAACCCCCAGTTGAAACCAGCACCCCCTTGCTTGCTGCGGTTCAATGTCTCATGATTTGAACTTCTGCTTTCAGCCTATGCCATTGCAACATAGTTGGATATAATCTTGTGCATCTGTTTTTGTCATGAGTTTTTGATTTATCTGCCTGTCTTGAAGGATTTTCATGCTGATTTGTGCAGTGTTTGAACTCCTTTTGTTTTTGTTCATGCTGTTTGCTTCAGATTGTTCGTATGTGTTGAATCTCTTGCATGTGGATTTCTTCATTGTTAGTTTAAACTGGTTTGATGTTATTTCATGCGTGTTTATGTTCTTGTCTGGATTATTTTTTCACGCAGATGTCGTCATTTGCTCATCCGTTTCATTTGTTTACAATTCTCTATATACATAGATTTATGCATATGCATTCGATTTCCATGACCCTGGTGCAGTAAAATGATTCTTCATGTTGCATCTGTGTTTCATATTTCTTAATTTGTCTTCATTTGTCTCCTTCTTCGTTTGTTTTCATTGCGTTTGATCTAGCGGCTACGGCAGTGTTGGCTCCTGCCTTGTAGGTCAAATGCTGCGAGGTGAACCAAAAAGTCGAGGCCACCGAAGTCTCCAGCGGCAGCCAACTGCCGTGACTAAAAGTATGGGTCCACACCGCCTGGCCACGGCGTCAGCGACGAGCAAAATACAAAGTCTATCTGATAGAACTGTGTCTTGGAAACTGCGATACTGTAGTTTCTATAATCAGCCAAGCATCCATCAGGGTCAACAATACTCGAAGCAAATCAGCACGAGAGTTCCTGCAAGATTTATGCTCTTCTTGAGTTTTTCCACATTCCATGTGTCCCTTCACCAAATCCAAAGGGAGCAGAACCACCAAAAAAATGCCCATTGTGAGTCATGGTAAGACCAAATTCAAGGACAGTGACAAAGGCTTGGATTTTTTCATTTGGATGTGCCTTAAAATTGGGTATGTCACGGTTCCAGAATCCACTGGTTTATCACCATGTCCATCCATTTTGCGTATGAAAACGGCCAGTTTGCAGCGTTCCTCTCGGCTGTTGGCCGCTGCTTCCCAACAACCACCAAGCCCAGCACCATCAGCAAAGCGCTAAGCAGGGCAGCCATGCGAAGCGATGGAGTGCTATGCCAAGGGCGCCACTCCAACAGGCCGAACTCCCAAAATGCCTGGCTTGAAGTTGCCAAGTTTACCACAAAATTAGATTATGAATTCACCATTAACCAACAAAAATGGGGATTGGGCACTGGGATATTCTGGGAAGATGGGGATACGGTCGGAACATAAAAAGACATTCAAACATTGGTGGAGAGATGTTCCCGCGAATCTCCGTGACCCCAAAGATGGAGCTTCAGCTTGTAGCCGGTTGGTCAATGAGTTCATGTTTATCTGTGTTTAAAAGAATCTTTGGCTTGCCCCAATATCACTTGGCGGCTTGGCCTATCTTAATCTATTTGCCATGTCTTCAGTTAAGGGTTTATAGGGGTTTATTCAAGTTTTCTTTGGAACAAGATTCTTAAAGTCAGGGATTCCAGAAACAGCGAACGACATTCGCTCCTCGCAAAAGTCGGGCTTCGCCAAAGGCGCTTCGCAGCTGCTCTTGGACATCCACATCCTCGGCGCGGAGTGGGATTCAAAGAAAAGGCACTGGTCTGTTGGCTTAATCTTTGTATCCATTGTATCATTGTAAATTTATACCATGATTGTCAAATATTGTCAATTTATCCATTGTATCATTGTATCTTTGTAAATTTCTTGTTGCTATAAATTGACCATATTTGACAATCACGGTTACCAGATGTTACCAGGATATGCTGCCAAGCTTGATTCATACCAGCAAGTCGATGCTGCAACACAGAGAGGTGTGGGGCCCCAGTCGTTGATGGTTTCAGGCTGGTAGTCTAACGTAGTTTTATCGTGTTTTCTTCTTCTACACTCATGTGATAAAACCAAGGATAAATCCCCCAGTTGGGGACCGTGTATACAACATTACACAACCCATTTCTGGTAAAATTATGTAAAATTGGTGACTATTTTTGGGTATACCACATCACTCAGTTGAAACATGTAGAAACTCTGAAGATCACCATCCCCACCATCCCACCCTTCGCCAAGTCGCGCGATGCCATTGTCTCCCTGGTACAGGCCATGCGGCACCGCCAAGGGCGGTGGCAGCAGGACATGGCTGCCGTTCAAAGGCCAAGGCTCCAGTAAGGGAAAACGCCACCTTTCGGCAACGATGGAGTCACTGGATGTGCCATGATGTGCCTTCTATACCCTCTGGTTATGTCAAAATAGCTATTGAAAATGGCCATTGATTTCGTGACTTTTCCCATCAAAAATGGTGATTTTCCATAGTTACGTTAGTTTACCAGAGGGTACCTTCCCGACAGTCTGAGCTGCAGTCTTGTTCATGTCCGGGTCAGTCATGTTATACAGGAAACACTGCGACGAAAATCCAATGAAACTAGATGAAAGCACGGTTAAGATCGACATTGGAGGTTGAAACTTCACCCTCTGGTCATCTATATAGCAAAAAATCGGAACGTTACATCACAAATATCCATCCAAACATCTCTAAACATCATTTTCCATGTGTTTTTTTCCGATTCAAAAATTGGAAGAAATCTTCGGTGGTCTGCTTCCAAGGCGCCAGGGCGCCATACGAGGTGCCAAAAACCGGGCGGTGGAGGCCACATCGCAGTGGCTGGGGAGGCAGAGCCCACCCAGCATCTGAAAAATGTCAATGGATTGGTCAATGGGAAAATCGATGGTTTCCGGTGAAGATTTTCCCGAACAAACCAATCCATTGATCATGGGATAATGGGACGGGGAAATGATATAAAATGATGAGATATACAACTCACGATAATGACAAGCGATAGGTGCTATTTTTATCTATTTTCAATTTTCGATACCTATCAACTAACAGTAACTAACCATAGGTGTTAAAATATACATACTGTATGTCGACCAAACGCGGGGGTTCAAACCTCCTGCAACCTGTTGCAATTGATGAGGATCGCTGGTCCATGGCCCCATGGCCACGTGCCTTGTGATCGAGTACCCCCTGAGGTCCAAAGTGCGTGATATACTCCCCCCACGCCGAGGTGTTCCATCGGGGCACCAGGAACCAGGGCAGAGCCGTGGTGTCGTAGTCCATCCTGGGAGCGACGTTGATGGCGACCAATGGGGTACCAACGGACTTGCAAAAGGACCGAACAGAATCAGCATTCAGAAGTTGGCCGTTTCGGGCATGGAAGCATCCAGTTGGTTGGATCTCTTCCAGCTTTCCAGCAGAGTCATACACGATGTAGGGGCAATAGATTTTTTCACTGGAACATGACAAGCATTGCATCCCTTTGCTCTCCAACTACATTTCCAGGCGGGAAAACACAGCTGCAAAAGAGCCAGCACAAAGGAATCACACAAGACACAGCACCAGTGTTATTAACCTTGGTGTCCTCTCAACACAGGATGAAATAACTCATGAGTCCACAATGAAATCCATGATGAAATCCATGTATCTTTTCTAATCTCACCGGCCACCGTTCAACTCCCCAGCGCCTCAGCCTGGGTTTGCCCAGCTGCGCTACGTAGAAGAACCGGCCTTCGCAGCTGCTGACCGTCGCCAATTTCAAGGGCCTCACTAGCCACAGCAATTTGATGCGTCACTTCAAAAAAAGACGGAACTACAAAGATATTTCACAAAGATTCAACATGATACTGATAGACACTGATAGACTCGAGTTTTTTAGAAGGATAATTTTTCGGAACAACTTCAACGATCATCTGGCAGTGTGTCAAAACCTTGTACCCCTGGTATTGATCCATACCCATCTTGGAGTCTTCTTTCAGCCTGTTTTCAACGCTCGTTTTCAACCCCTGGCCTGGCCAAAACTGCCTCCAGACACAGGGACTCTGGTGCATGTCGTGGCACTGCACGCCACGTCTCTGGTGGGGCGACCTAAGCCCGTCGTTTCACCACCGAAGAAGTCCCAATTTGGGGCCCATTGGGGGGGCGACATATATATATATATACATATATATGCATATATAGCAAACTACCAGATCTACATGTCAAATGTTCCCAATCATCGAAGTCAATTGGATGTCTTCATCGGATTTGGATGTCGAACTTCCATCGAAGCTAAGGGTCTCGCCAACCCTCGGCAACAGCGCTCTTCTGTGTGTAGCCCGTCCCAACAACTCGCCCTGTCCTCCGTCAGATCTTCCTCCTAGAGGCGTTGGGGGCGGCCGCAGCTGCATGACTTCTTGAGTCATCGATGCTCTCGTTGAAGGCCAATTCAGTGTAAATCAATGCATACGTGCGTCTATATATATATATATATGGCAGTGTGTCAAAACCCTGTACCCCTGGTGAACATCAAAATAGCTGGGATTTATGGATGTTCATCCCCCTAAAAATGGTATTAATAGGTATTGATCCATACCCATATATGTATAGATCTTCTGTGGATATCAATTCACATTATGGTCACAGTTGTATTAACTAATAGCTGACCCCAATGATGTCACCATTCGTAAGTCGACCTCATCTCCCAGGCGGCAGCAGGCACGAAAGCTGTAGCCATTCGTCCAGCACTCTCTGCCGACTGGTGCTGGTGCCTGCGCAGCCGCTGGTTGCGTTGCAAGTCGTGAAGAATAAATGATACATATACAGCACAAAATGCTAAAACATAGGTACCGGACCTACCATACATAATATATATGTATATATATGTATATATTGCTATGTACAAATATATATATATATTGCAATAATATATACATATATACATATATGTGTACTGATCCGTTTGATTCCAATGATCTCTTAAGGAACTCCAGCTTCCACCCCTTTCAGTCACTTGCTCTTCGGCCCCTTTCCAGTCTTCGGGTCCTCTTCAGTTTCGCTTTGCTTTGGAGCCATGGGCAGCTGCCACCGACCTGCCAAAGGTCCCACATTTGGATCATAGAAGTTGGGGCATCACAAGCCGACAGCACATGGCTTTGGCAGTTTCACTAGGGTACCCCTGAATCTCAAAGTCGATCAATGTCATGTTAATGTTATGTCATGTAATGTTATATCAATGTCATATCAATGTTATGTCACCAAGGCTTATTCCCCAAATGATGGCCACAGTTCAGGGCTCAACAGCGTGGCACCATCCAGATCTTCTCCATGGACGCAACAGCGCTCGAAGGTCAAACGCCAGCCGTCCCAGCAGTGCTTTCGGCCCTCGAAGCCTTGGGTCGGATGGGATGAGGCAATAGTTCCAGATTGTGCCATACGTATATATATATATATATGTTTGTATCTATGTGCATATAATATAATATATATATATGTGATATAGAATGATATAGATATAGATGTAACATATCATGCATCAATAGAAGAGTTTCATTTGAATATTAGATTGAGCAACCAGTGGATCGTCAAGATATTCCAATCTTCACCATATCCAATGATCAATTGCTGAGACCAAAGTTAGAAAGGGCCTAGGCCTGTACCCCACCAGCCCCAGCCGGTCCTTGTGTCAGATCACAGCAAAGTTCATGACTGTACAATGGCGGATCCCAACAGTCCTTGGAGCACTGAAGGCACGTGGATTTTCTAACGTGCTCACCATAGTATACGATGTATCAACCAACATCAACCAACATCAACCAACATCAACCAACAGACCCCCGAGATGCCCCAAGAATCACCCAGCTTTCTCCAAGTTCTATATATATATATATGTATTTTTGCCACTTTGTCAATGTTTCGCTTTCCCTTCCAGGCATCCTTTCCGGGCACGTAGTCTTTGTACAGCCCCACGCGTTGATACCGCGCCGATGTCTCCGACACATACGCTGCCACCTTGCTGTCTTCGCCCGGCGCCACACAGCATCGAGCAAAGGTGAAGTGGCCGTCCCAACAGGCGGGGTTGCCGCCTGCGACCCCAAGTCATGAACGATTATTGATGTGGGATAGTTTGGGTTAGTTTGGGTTGGTTTCCCTTGTTGCTGGATCATTTGGGTGATTGGGTGAATGATGGTTAGGCTGTTGAAAATGAATGTTGAAATACAACGCCTCGTTCCGTGCCAAACAGCCTGCAAAAATCACAAAGTTCAGTGATGGTAAGTCGTGAGCAAGTCATGCGCAGTCGTAAAGACTTGTCGAAAAATATTTTCCCCCATGTCCATCCTGTGAACTTAGAAAAACAGTCATGTGGTAAACCCAATTTCATAAACCATCCCCAAGTCATCACCAAGTCATCACCATTTTGGGTCCTATGTTTACCATCCCCAAATAGTAGGTTTATTGGGTTGTGGGATGAATCCAGGCACCTGGACCAAAGCCCACACAACAAATGTCGTAAGAAAAGCCCGCGATCCAACAGTACGGATTTCCTGCGCCGGTCAAATCTTGGAGAATGTTTGCAGATCCATAGATTGCACAACTGCTATTAGCTGCGGTTTTCTTCACTTTCCTATCTCAAAAATTCTCAAGTGATCCTTGGCAAAGTCTAGTGCAAGAACCACAAGGATTTCCCGAGTTTGCCAGTTGCATTCTTGTGAAATAAGACTAATAAAGTTGTGTGTATCAAAGGAAGTTACCTGGAAAGAGTATCCTACATGCTCTGGCCCTCCAGCAAATCAATGAAAAAGCCCAACTTTGAATCTGTATCTCATCAAACAAAGTCAAACCAGAGGGCTTTGCAACCGGCAGAATGACCATAAAAGATCTTCGGGAACAACCAGGCAGCTAGAAAGTCGCTTATGTCTGTGCCTCCCATCATTGTGGCGTGTCATTCATGTCCCCCTGTCCTGCCATCTTGGAGCAATCCACTCATCCGATCCTGTTTGATGCAGGAGCTGGGTCGGCCAACACGCAAAGATTGGTGCAAAATGGTGCAAATATGTATAGATCAAAATGTGAAGCCAACAGATTTCGACAGGTTTGGGATCATATCTCTTTCGGGGTGCCCAAGTCTTGCCGACTCCCAACTACTGCTGTCCTCGTGGCTTAGCTGGGGCCCAGAAGCCAATCAGCAATCAGCCAGGTTGTTCCATCTGAGAGAGAGCATGCAACTGGCATCTTTCCAACATGGCTGAAACATGGAATTGCACATGGGATGCCAGTGCCATAAAGTCAATCCATTTCGGGGGTCAATTTGATCATTCCATGGCGTTTTTTTCAGCATTTCGACTGGCAGCTCCTCCAGCTCTGTTTGAGCCAACAGTAAGAAAACAGCGACCGTCTCTTGCTGCCATAGTCTGAAGTACATGTGTATCTGATTCAAAGCGCGGCACAAGAAGCTGGACTATGCTATATTTTGGATCTTATGATCAGAGTGTGTCCAGAACCCCACATGCAATGGCTACAAAGGCAAGGAAGAAATGATGAAAAGCAACTGCCCAACTACAAACCCATACTCCCCCGTATTCCCACCCTTACCCCCGGTGCCGCACCGATCACCAGAATTCGATCTGATGACCTGGGGATGGTGAACGAAATCAGGACCTCGCTGGGCAGCCTAAGTCCTCTTCAGTGCTTCTGCTTAACCAAAGCAACTTGTAACAAACATGTTGGGATGTCTCAGAACTCAGAAGTACTTACTTGTCCCCAAACACAATCATTTTACTATCTTACTTACCCATTATCCCATTATTACCCTGACGAAAAACAATGTCTTGATGTTCAATTTTCAGTGGAAGATGTCATGCCTCCACTCCCCCGGCTGCTCTTTTTGCTCAGCTCAGTCGAGGCTTTTTGGCAAAGGGACGCTCTGCTGCCCTTGCCACCTCCTCCGGACTCACCAGAATCGAGCGAAGCTCTCCTTGGAGGATTGCCATCATTGCCATCCCACTGATTTCATCCATTGGGATCACGGCCATCCAATCCATCCATGGTCTGCTGGGTTCATCCAACTAGATTGATGCAATGCCAGAAATCAACGGAGGGGCCATTTGCCGAAATCTTCGGTCCTGTCTTGAAGAACTGCTTCATGGAGTCGTCGCTGATCTCTAGGGCTATGTGAAAGAGGCCCATCAAAAAGGCCTCAACTCCAGAGAAACACCATCTCAAAACAGGAAATTCGGATGGGAATGCAGATGTTCTTCAACATCAATCATGGAGCTAAATGGCTTTTGATCAAAGGCCTGGTACACTTTTTTGTTCACATCGAAATAGCTGGTACTGTGGATGGTTGCGAAATCCTGCATGTTGGTAATTCTTAGGTGACTATGAAACATTGTACATAATGGGACTATAATGGGATTTTGCTCATCTACCAGCTGGTGCAGGATTTCGCAACCATCCACTGGCTGGATTGCCATCCCATCCTGCCAGGAAAGGTGCTGAGTGTGTGCCCACCACGATCTCCGTCTCCGGCCGCTGAAGGAGCCACAGGAGAAAGTCGTGAGCCCTCCGAGGGGTGCTTGAGCTGCCATACCCGTCATGCAATTTAAATAGAAATTCATAAATTCATCAAACATGAATCTATGAAGCATTGAGGGGGGCCCTGGGTTTTGTCATATCTTGAGTCCCAAATGTGTATAGCTTTTGATGGTAGTAAATGAATCCAAATTCAACTTGTGGAAGCAGCTTGGAAATTAACTTGTGTCAGACACATCTCCGACCAATCATCAACTATATCAAACTCTGCGAAATCCATGGTCGCACACAGGTGACTTTGTGGCCCCTGAGCCTTTGCGCCAGCTCCAACTTACTTTCTCGTTGCGTCCAACTGGTTGGGTCCTACCACCATTGGTGCCCTTGTGAGTTACTGTTAGTTGGGGCCTCGTGGCACGGCCATGTGACGTACACGGTCACGACTGATTGAACGTTAAAAAAAGTAGAAAGATGATCAAGCGAAGATGCAAATGCCCGAAAGCCTTTGTGAATGCGGCATGAAACAAACATGCGTCTACCAAACTTCAATGTGTCTTCCGGATCCATTTTGCTGTTCTTTGAACTGCATGTTTTCGACTCCAGTTATGACCCAAATTCGCTCCTCATCGTGTTTCACGTGGGAAACATCCACCTTTGGGAAGGTTTCCACGTAGTCCGTCCGGGAGGAGCGCCGATCGCAGGTATGCACACCAATCTGCTCTCGACCTGGCAGATACCCGACTGCCTGATGAAGTTCAGCAGAAACATCAAGATTTGAAGCTCAGCAGTTTCGGGCCCCACAGTCGAAACGCAGTCGAAAGAAACATCTTCGGAGTTTGGACTCCCGACAGGCTCCATGGGCCAGGACAGGAACTCCGTTCGAAACGGCGTCTTTGAAAGCAATGAGAATGGTCTCTGTCCTCTGCACGGCAGGGATTCCAGTGACTCCCTCAACACTGTAAGGCTGTAAGGTCTGTTATAAGGGAAAAGTGTTGAGAGCACAGAATGGATGCCACGCTGAAGTAATTCCACCAAAAGGAATTTGGACCCATCTGTACATGTTTTTTGAGGGAGAAATCTAAGCATTGGAATCAAGTCACGCAACATACGGGTTTTGGTCTTGGAAGGCCTACCACAGGGGTGCCAGTGCCAATTGAGCCATCAAAAATATGGCTTATCATAATCCTTATTAAGTTTTCCCCACCAAATTGGGTAGTATAAGTCCCTATACTTTTCCAATCAACAATGATATTTTTAATGGCTCAATTGTTGCGTTGCATTCTTAGCGGCGCGCGTCTCAGCGGTGAAACCACCAACAGTTCGGGCGTCAGCGTTTTGGCTAAAGACCACAGAGCCTGACGAACACACGGCGTGATCTGGGATTCAATCCGTAAAAATTAGGGATCTATTGATCTACATAAGCATGTGTATATACATATATACTTATATAATATAATATGTATATATATATATTATATATACAATATATATATATATATTGTATATATATATATATGTTGTATATATATATTGTATATATATATATATTGTATATATATATATACAATAATATATATATAATGATATTATATTATATTATATTACATTATATATATTATATCAAATATTTACTTATATTATCATATATTTTGTTATATCATATAATGTTATGTTATATCATACTATGTTATGCTATATTATATTGTGTTATATTATATTATATTATATTATATTATATTATATTACATTATATTATATTATGTGTTATTTCATTATGTTATATTATATTATATATTATGTTATGGCATATTAAATTAAATATTGTATTACTTAATTATATTTATATATTGCATATATCATTTATATATATATACTAATCAAAAAATGTGATCTAAACAAGGGGACAATTCTCACCAAGACCAAACCGACCTAGGTTTGGGGGGCGTGTTCTGAGATAAGCTAAACTGCACTCTGTTGTGTATCAAAGCACGGGTGGGAATGACCGCAACCACCCGACTGTGCCTTCGCATCGTCCACGCCCAAGCAGGTCAAGGGTGGATCTTTGATAGCATCCTCGATAGAGAGAAAGGCTCAAAACCATGGGTGGGGTATGGCTGGGTAAGCTTCAAAAACCGAGGAGGAAATCACAGATCCCAAAATCTGCGATTTTTAGAGGAAGCTCTTGCCCTCCAGTAAACCCCACCAACCAAGGCACATTGACATAGGGATGGAAGGTGGCCTTCTTAGCCTGGCCAATCCGGGGCATAACCCTCAAGGCGACACACGACTGCACACAGACTGCCCATGGACTGCCCAAGACCTAAAGATTTCAAAATGCCTTTGGCAGACATTACCATTCAAATCTATACAATTCAAAATTCATAAATCCATAAATTCGAATGATGTCCTACTTTTGGAATCCGCCGGCCTGCCGGCGTGTCTGATTGGAAGGTGTTGTTCTTGTTTCTGTTCTTGGCTTGTACTTGTTCCTTTGTTCTCTTGCTGTGCGTTTTTGCTTCGTCTGAATTAAGGCCACCCACCCCCCCGTCCCGTGCACATCAAACTCCCTTGGGGCCACCTTCTATGGCCGGCAGGCTTGCCGAAGGCAACTAGATAATGATTAATGTCATCATAGATCATCTATGATTAATGTTCTGCATCTCTTGCTACGAAAAAATCTCCCAATCGGCCCGCCAGCACGCAGGCGGACCTCCTCGTAGGTCCCCAGTTCAGAAAAGTCTACACCCAACTGTTGGCACGCTTCTGCCATCAGGTTGTGGTAGCCCTGGGGGCGTGGGCCAAACGTTTCTTGCAACAAGGGCGAAATGACCAAAAAAAATGGAAGGTCTGATTCGAAATGAAGCAACACTAGAGCAAAGGTATCACAGTTTGTCAAGCCCAAAGATATTAGATGTCCTTAACATTTCACAATCCTTTTTTGCTTTCGAAAACCAAAAAAACAGTTGAAACTACCCTCCGGTACTGGGAAATCCCCGAAAATTATAGATGATCTTCGCAAATGCAAAACCTCCGTTTCGTTGGTTTTCAATTGCCATGATGGATGATATATCTTCATGATATATCTCCATGAGATTCCCATTGTATTCCCATTATATCAATGGAAAATCCACCACTTGTGACTTCGTTGTACCCTGCGGTCAGGCCACCTGGCCATGACGAACCCAATGGATGAGCTTTGCAGCCTGACAGGAGAGGGGATTGGACCAGTATAGCAGAGATATCACACCTTATCATATTATATTATATCATAGCATAAAATATAATATAATATATTTTGTTGTATTGTATTATATTATATTGCATTATATTAATTATATATAATCATGTATATTATACATACATATGTATATGTATATATATATTGCATGTGTATGTATGTATGTATGTATGTATGTATGTATATATTGTGATATTGTAACATCTCTAATGTAATATGATATAAATAATAAAATAAAACAAAATTAAATTAAAAATATATAACATAATATAATATAATTAATGTAATATAATATAATATAGTATTAGTATAATAATATGATATAATATAACTAATAATATAATCATGTTTTCAAATTCTATTGCATATAATATATCATATAATACAATATAATATAATACCATAAAATATTTGAATATAATAATTCAATGTAACTAAATATAATTTAATGTAATATGGTATAATATAATATTTTATGTACACATTATAAAATCATGCATGTAGTATAAAGCGTATATATCATAATATCATGTAAATATTATAATGTATATGAATTATAATATAATATAATATAGTATGCTGATATAATATAATATGTCTTACATAGATAGATAGATAGATAGATTAGACAGATAGATAGATAGATTAGATAGATTAGATAGATTAGATAGATTAGATAGATTAGATAGATTAGATAGATAGATTAGATAGATTAGATAGATTAGATAGATTAGATAGATTAGATAGATTAGATAGATTAGATAGATTAGATTGATTAGATAGATTAGATAGATTAGATAGATTAGATAGATTAGATAGATTAGATAGATTAGATAGATTAGATATGTTGTAATTATAAAATATACATATATGCATATCAGCGATTTCCTTCACTAACAGCAGTTACAGTACTACTATATACTTACTACACTAGTTCATTGTAGCTATACCCAGCATCTCCCGCAGGCTTAAACACCGCAAAATCCCACCTTGGGCTTCCCCATGCTGGGCTCCCACTTCTGCACGCGGATCCGCGGCAAATCGAAACGCTCCAGCGCCTCCTGAAACACGTGGGATGAAGGGGTGAATTTAGCCACAAAAAATCCTCTGGTAAATCACCATTTTAATAGAAAAAAACCATGGAAAATCAATAGTAAATCACCATTTATCAATAGTACCCTCTGGTAATGACTCACATAACTATGGAAAATCACCATTTATAGTGGAGTTTCCCATGAAAATTGGTGGATTTTCCACAGTTATGTTAAAGTACCAGAGGGTAACAAGAATCATATAACAGCATCCACGAAAATGACAATATTAATACTAATCATCATAAGAAGAAGAAGAAGATGAATGGAATACATGTACTTCATCTATTTAAATATAGAATACATATTCAGAAAATCATCCAGCTTTGCAACCCCTTGGGGCAGCGTTCCAGGGTGCCTTACCAAAACCAAAAACCAGGGCTGGTCCTACACTGGGATCCAGGTTATCCAGCCCCAAAGTTGATGGAAAATCCCAAAGTTTCACGGTCATTTGATGGTGATTAATCACTAAAAATGGTCATGACTACGAATATGAATGATCAACATGAAAACCCAGAATTGATCAGATCTAATGTGTTATATGATTTTAAAGTGCTTATTAATTAATGAAAAAAACGATTTCCACTGGGTTGTTGATGGCCTGATTATTAATGGCCTCATCATTCAAATATGAAATCTGGTTGATCATGTATTAATCAATTAATCACTTCATTATTCATTAACCAGATTTGCAATGATTTCTGCCATTTTTGGGGGATGATCCCTCGACTACCCAATCAATCTGAATCATTCGTGCTGGACCCCGTGCCACTGACCCAATCCATTATCCCCCCTGAGCCAACCCTACAAGTACTGCCAGTCCTAACCATCAACCAACAAGAAATGTCGAAACCACCAAAATCCTAACTTTGAGCGATGTCCATTTAGAACTTGGGTCGACAAACCATGGAAAGTCCCCTGCGGATTACTTGACTTATAGGAATTTGCCACTCAAGCTGAGTAATTTCTGCCAGGTGCCAAGTGCAGATGTAAATTATGTAAAACCAAAGATTGAGCAGATCTTCGAACCTTCATGGCATTGAGGTGCTGCTGATGTTGGTTTTTTCGCAAGGCTTCCGCCATCAGCTCTGACGGGACCCTGCGGCTATAGCCCAGCTCGAGCCAGAAGTGCTCCGGGGTCGGCCAGCTATGCTCCATTCAAGCGGAAAATGTGATTGTGGGCTGCATGGATCTGTCTCCAAATGGGGCAAATGTCAATGTTTGACAGGAAAATGATGCTCATTTTCTGACAAACCGATGGCTTCATTGAGCCTCACTACAGCCCTTAACTTAAGGCAACGACCTTCCCAATCTCCGCCGTGAAAATTTGTACCTGAGAAGAAATGTGGCGGGCGAAGCCCATCACTGGAGGCATGTTGGATCATCCCAAAGAGGACTCAAAAAAATCCGCCCTATATCTTTAAATTCAATAAAGGCATTGGCGGCATTGGCATAGGATATAATATATCCATATATATATATACATGTATATATATAATACATATATATATATATATCATATACATATATATATATATCATATACATATATATATATCATATACATATATATATATATCATATATCCCTATTGTATCCATACCATATTAGTGTTTCATGCTTGGCTGTCAAATCCCAGCATCCATGGCACAACTGGCACCTTTTGCACGCACTAATCCGAGAAGCCCAAGAAGCTCAAGCGGCAGGGCCGTGGCGTGGCTGCCATCAACTTTGAGTGACGACTGACACGTTAACGCTGTGCCAGAAACTTCTGGACACGCAAAATGGGATGTAAAATGATGATCAATGATGATCAATGATGATCAATGATGTACACAATGTACAGTGTTTTGCAAATGTAGACAAGCAGCTTCCATTTTTTCCAATCGTCTGAACTGATTTTCTTTGATCGAATCCACCATCCAGAGAGTTCATGGCGCTGGATACGGAAAAGGTGCAGCCCGCCTCAACATTTTCTTGAGAGGAGCTGCAATCCACATAAAGGCAAGATTTTAAACTCGAAACTTCAACTACCGGGTACCGCCCCAAGCTCAGCTTCCACCTGACAGGTCACAAAGCCACGGCCTGGTGAGGACCCCTACCAAGTTGTCATGCCGTTTATTTTGGAAAGAAACCATTATATATATAAATCAGATTCACTATTCAACAATCTTCAGAATCTCAAGTTGGAGCCACTCTATGTCCCCGGTCCGCAAGATCTCAGGCGCCTTGCAGGGAAGCTAGGCACAGCCGGTCACAGCTGGTCACAGCCCGACGTCAAACTTGGACGGCCAGTTCCTCCGCGACCGCGGCATTCTCCGCGTCCTTGGGGCACTTGCTATCGTCCAAAACAGTGCCACCCATCACCTGGCGAGGTGAGCAACGCTGAAAATCTTCGGAAACCTTTGGGAGGTGACCTCCACTCCCCACGAAAATGCCTCTGCAGCAGCTTGTGCCCAGCTATCTCCATCGTTGTTTCCTTGGCGCAGTCCTCTCTCGGATCAATGGAATCAGTAACAAAACCTCCAATTTGAGAATGAGAATCCGGTGAAGATGTCTGAGAAAGAGTCCGTTGAACACATCGCTTTCATTGTGACACTTAGTTACTTATTAGATGTGGAAATCCCCCGTTTATATGGCAGTGGGTCAAAACCTTGTACCCCTGGTGAACATAAGAATAGCTGGTAAATGGATGTTCATCCCTCTAAAAATGGTATTAATAGGTATTGATTCATAGCCATATATCAAATTCCCATTCAAACCTCCATTTCGTTCCAGGATTTCCCAGCCATGTTGACCGTCCAAGCAACGTCGCTGCCGTCGGCACCACACCGGGAAGTCCTGCCACTTGGTTTCCTCGGCCTTTGCGGTGGAACCCAACCTCCGTGACGCGCGATTTCGCAACGGCTTGTTGGTCAAGCACATTCAACCGTTGATTGTATGTTCACAATCTGGCTGTCTTCGTATAGATAAACATCTAGTGATATCTAGGTATATAATTCTATGTGTATGTCTTATGTTTGCTGCTCATTTGCCATAATTGATCATACATTCGCAGCCAGACTCGCTCAAGCGAGGCTCTGCGTGCTCCCCAGCTCGTAGATGCCAAAGGTCATCTGATGATCGCCGGGTCCCTTGAAGTACGACACCTGGAACTCAAAGAGGGAGACACCTGGAACTCACGTGCTGATGTGCAAACACCTCGCTACAGAACTTACAGAACGCTCCGAATTTGTGTAATACATGTGAAGAGAATTTTGAAGGTGTGCCAATTGGAAACTTTCGTATGCAGGGATTCACGTGCGAATTTCATTTGTTGATTCATCAGGTCCAACCAAATAGAAAGGTCGGGCGCTGTTTGAGTCAAGCTGTCCAAATAGCAAACCCCCTAAGTCTATCCAAGGCAGCAACTTTTCGTGCAACTTTTTTCACCAATACATCCCTGAAAGCTGCAATTTCCCTGTTACCTCTCCAGCAGCACAGATTTGGGCATGGCTGGGATGGTCAAACAGTAAAAATGTGTAAAAATACATACGAGATGGTGCACTTTATTGGGTACCCTCAAATTTGGATGATTTTGCTACTAGAAAACAACCAGTCCATATGCGGTCTAGGCTTTGAATTTTGACCTGCTTCAAACAATCTCATGTTTTCGCTTAAGCTGTACTTTTTCTGGGCCAAAATCCCCCAAATGTTGCCAGTCGAACAAGAATGGTTACCCCCAAAAAATAAGCCCAAAGAGTATCCCCAACAGCCAGAAACAAAAACAGCTACCAAACACGCAATGGGTGAAGTATGTTTATTGCCCAGCCCTTCTTACTCTAGAGGTCGGGCATGCAAGGCGCAATCACGGCACAAACACTTTATGAAAAACCGTTTTCCAAAAGCATTTGCAATACTGTGGAAGCTGAAGGGCCCATATTCCGGAAGCTTGTGAGAAGGGCTTTTCTCAAAGAACTGCTGTCCACCTCACTCTTCACTTCATCTACCTAACATACATCATCCACATCTCTTGTGTCCTTTACATCACCTACATCTTGGATACCATCTTCTACACCATCTTCTCTACATCTACAACTACATCTACATCATCATCATCATCATCATCATCATCACCATCATCATCATCATCGTCATCGTCATCGTCATCATCATCATCACCACCTACATCTGTCTCACCTACATTACCTACACACCCTACACACTTGTCCTTCAGCCTCATCTATATGACATGCCTTTTCTACAACACATACATTACCTACACCATCATCTACATCACTACATATTCTACATCACCCACATCACCTACATCTTCTGCACCATCTTCTCTACATCATCATCATCATCATCAACATCATCATCATCACCACCATCATCATCATCAGCATCATCATCTATCTCACCTACACCATCGACATCACCTACACAAACTTTTTCCATTAACGTCATCTACATGACATACATCATCTACAACGCATACCTGACCTACATCATCATCTATATCACTACATCCTCTACATCACCTACATCTTCTAGTCGATCTAACCTTACATCACTTACAACATCATCCTCAACATTTATAATATAGACAACATCACAAAACATCAGCTACAGGTGATCAACTTCTAGGGAACTCCTACAAAACTGGAAAATGTCATGTACACAGGAGTTGACTTGCAGGTGATCCACTTCTACTTGAACTCCTACACGGCTCCTGCAAGGTCATTTGCACAGAAATTGTTACACAGGATTTGCTACACAGGCGTTCAGCTAACTGCAGGTGATCAAACTGAATCTGAACTCCTGCAAAATCAGACTTCTCCAGTTCTTCTATTTCTCTCTGGCGGCAGGGACAGCCAGGCGGTGGCTTACGAACCGTTACCCTCTGCAGCGTGTCGGACACCCAAACGTGTGGCGAAATGCGGGTCTTGTTTGTCCTTGGGCAACCCTCTGTGGAGATCGCGCGTGTCGGATGGGCAAACATGTGGTGTGGGGAAAGGCTTCGCCCGCAGCAACCGTCTACGGAGATCGTGCGTTTCAGACGCACAAACATGTGGTGGAATGTGAATTTCTTTTGGGCACGGGCAACCCTCTACACAGATCGCGCAGGTCGGACATCCAAACATGTGGCAAAATGCAAATTTGGTGAGGCCCGGCGCAGCCCCTTCGCACGAAACGAGGGTCAACCGTCAAAAACTGGTGTAATATTGTGATTGAAAATCCAGATGCAAGCGTGGCACGAAAGTCAAATGGCAATAACTCTGGGAAAACTGTGATATTTTGATGCCAGATGCAAACGTTCAAGAATTGGTGTAAAATTGCGACTTGATCCATTTTGAAACGTCAGGCACAACGGTTTCGCGCGAAATAAAACTTGTGTAAAATTGCGATTTTCCAACGCCGGATGCAACCCTTTCGCATCCTTTCGCACGATATGATGGCCGAACGTCAAAAACTTAAGTTAAATTGCGATTTTTTGAAGCGTGTAAAAGCTGCTCTGTGGAATCGGTTTTTCTGTGGGAAAGCGTCTGTGTAAAGGCTTCTCTATGCAAAAGCTTCTGTGCGTAAAAGCCTCCGTGTGTACAAGCTTCTGTGCAAAGGCATCTGTGTGTAAAAGCTCCAGTGCGTAAAAGCTTCTCTGTGTAAAAGCTTCTGTGGAAAAGCTTGCGTGTGTAAAACCTTCTGTGTGTAAAAGATTCTCTGTGTAAAGGCTTCTCAGTGTCAAAGCTTCTGTGTGTATAGGCGTGTATATGTCAAAGCATCTCTGGGTAAATGCTTCTTTGTGTAAAGGCATCTGTGTTCAAAAGCTTCTGTGTGTAGAAGCATCTGCCGCATCTGTGTGAAGAATTTTTGTGTAAATGCCTCTGTGTAAAGACCTGTCTGTGTAAAAGCTTGGGCATTTGCGTGTTTAAAGTTTCTGCGCATATAAGATTGTAAAAGCTGCTCTGTGCAAAGGCCTCTCTCTGTGTAAAAGCTTCGGTGTGTAAAAGCTGCTCTGTGAACAAGCTTCTATGCGTATCGTAAAAGCTTCTATGTGTAAAAGCTCTGTGTGTAAAGGCGTGTGTGTGTGTGTAAAGCTTTTGTGTGTAAATGCTTCTGTGTATAAAAGATGCTCTGTGTAGAGGCTTCTCTGTGTAAAAGCTTCTCTGTGTAAAGCTTCTGTGTAAAAACTTCTGTGCGTAAAAGCTTCTGTGTGTAAAGGCCTCTATGTGTAAAAGCGTTTGTGTAGAAAAGCTTCTTTGTGTAAAGGCGTCTGTGCGCAAAAGCCGCTCAGTGTAAAAGTTGCTCTGTGTAACGGCTTCTCTGTGTAAAGCGTCTGTGTGTCAAAGCTGCTCTGTGTACAGGCGTCTGTGTGTAAAAGCTTCTGTGTGTACAAGCTTCTCTGTGTAAAGGCCTCTCTACGTCAAAGCTTCTGTGTGTAAAAGCTGCTCCGCGTAAACGCTGGTCTGTGAAAACAAACCTGAGTATAAAAGCTGGTCCGCGCAAGGCTTCTCTGTGTGAAAGCTGCTGTATGTAAAAACCGTTTGTGCGCAAAGTTCCTTCCCGCAAACGTTTGTCTGTGAGAAAGCTTCTCTGTGCAAAATCTTCTCTGTGGAAAAGCTTCTGTGAGTAAAAGCTGCTCTGTTTGTAAAGGCTTCTCCGAGTAAAAGCTTCTGTGTGTGTAAAAGCTTCTGTTTGTAAAGGCATCTCTGTGCAAAGCTTCTGTGTAAAAGCTTTCTTGTGAAAAGGCTGTAAAAGTTTCTGTGTCTAAAAGCTTCTTTTTGTAAGGCGTGTGTGCGCAAAAGCTCCTGTGCGTAAAAGCTTGGGCATCTGCGCGCTAAAGTTCCTGTGTGTACAAGCTTCTTTGTGAAAAAGCGTCTGTGTGTAAAGCTGCTCTGTGTAAAGGCTTCATGTGGTAAGGCTTCTTTAGAAAAGGCTTTTCTGTGAAAAAGCTTCTGTATGTCAAAGAGTCTGTGGTAAAGCTGCTCTATGTAAATCCCTCTCTGTGTAAAGGCTTCTGTGTGTAAAATCTTCTCTGTGTAATTTTTTCGCTGTGTAAAAAAATGTCTTTTGATTCTGACTGTCGCTCAGGTGCCAGCCCTGGAGCAAACCCTCTGCGGGACAAAAAAGGCATGAAACCGTGGATATGTGACATTTGACCCGCGTCAGCTATCATTCATCATCATCTCCATCGCCATTCATCCTCGTCATCATCATTGTCGTCATCATCATCAACATCATCATCATTTTTCTTGTCTCCTCCCTCCTGCTTTCTTTCAGGCCACGCTGTCGTCTAGTGTTTTTATCCATGTGCGGGTGCCGTATCATTTTTTGAAGCAAAACAAATTCTTCAATCTCTCCGTTCCGTTATTAGAACAATTCTGAAACCTTTGCAGTATTCTGTTGTTCAATGTTCTTGGAACCTTGCCTGGGCAACTGTTCTTGGATACGTTGCTTGGCACTTGTTTATCTGAACCTTGCTTGGGAACCTGTTCTTGGGAGCCTTTGCTTGGGAACCTGTTCTTGGGAGGCTATTCTTAGGAACCTGCTCTTGGGAGCATTGCCTGATAACCTGTTCTTGGGAACTTTCTCTTGGGAACCTGTTCTTGGAAACTTTGCCTGCTTGCTTCAAACCTGTTCATTGGGACCTTGCTCGGGAACCTGTTTTTCGTAACTTTGCTTGGGAACCTGGTTTAGGAACCTGTCCTTCGGAACCTTGCTTGGGATTTTGTTATTGCTTCCAACCTTGCTTGCAGCTGCTCTTCGATATTTTATGAAATTTTGCTGTCCAAGTTGTTCTTGGAAAGCTGTTCCTGGGAACATGAGCAACCTGTTCTTGCGAACCTTGCTTGGGAACCTGTTCGTTGAACCTTTCTTGCAACATTGCTTTGGAACCTTTCTTGACAACCTTGCCCGTCAACCTATTATTCGAAACCTTGCTGGCGAAACTGTGATTGAAAGCCTTGCTGAGGAACCTTGCTTTGAAACCATGCTTGGGAACGTGTTCGTGGGAACCATGCTGGCAACCTATTGCTCGGAACCTTCCTAGAGAATTTGTTCTTGGAACCCGAACCTGTTCTTGCAAAGCTTGCTTGCAAACCTGTGAACTTTGCTTGGGGACCTGTTCGTGGAAACCTTGCTTTGGAACCTGTTCCCAAGGACCTTGCTTAGTCCAACCTTGCTACCCTGCAAGGAAACCTGTTCTTGGAACCCTTGCTTCGGAACTTGAGGCACTGTTCTTGGAACCCTAGCTTGTGAACCTGTTCTTGCGAACCTTGCTTGAAAACTTGTTCCTGGAAATATTGCTTGGGAACCAGCTCTTCCTGGGAACGCTTGCTTGAGAACCTGTTCCTGCTTGGAACCTTGCTTGGAAACGGTTCCTGGGACCTTGCTTGGGAACCGTTTTCGGGAACCGCACTTGCAAGCGGTTCCTAAGAACTTAACCTTGCTTCGGAACCTCTTCCTGGATACCTGCTTGGGAGCCTCTTCCTGGGAACTTGCTTGGGAACCTCTTCCTGGGAACCCTTGCTTGCAAACCTCTTCCTGGCAACCTTGCTTGAGAACCTCTTCCCAGCAACCTTGCTTGAGAAGCTGTTCCTGGGAACCTTGCTTGGGAACCTTTTCCTGGAAAGCTTGCCTGGGAACTTTTTCCGGGAACCTTACTTGTGAAATCTTGTGAACCTGTTCTTGGGAATCTTGTTTGGGAACCTGTTCCTGGGAACCTGTTGCTGGGAACCTTGCTTGGGAACCTGTTGCTGGGAACCTTGCTTGGGAACGTGCTTGGGAACCTTACTTGTGAACCTGTTCTTGGGAACCTTGTATGGGCACCTGTTCCTGGGAACCTGTGGCTGGGAACCTTGCTTGGGAACCTCTTCCTGGGAACCTTGCTTGTGAACCTTGCGTAGTGCGGATTTCGCTGCTCCGACCTGCTCCAAGACCTTTACTATGGCTGAAGACCCCAAGCTTACGCTGCAGGGGAATTATAGAAACCTTTACAATGCCACCTTGGGAACCTTGAGAACCTTTACTTGGAAACCTTGGGCACTTTGAGGGAACCTTGAGGGAATCTTTACAATCTAACCTTGGGAACCTTGACGGAACCTTGGGAACCTTGGGAACCTTGGAAACCTTAGGAACCTTGAAACCCTTCGGAACCTTGGGGAACCTTGGGAACCTTGGGAACCTTGGAAACCTTAGGAACCTTGAAACCCTTCGGAACCTTGGGGAACCTTGGGAACCTTGGGAACCTTGGAAACCTTAGGAACCTTGAAACCCTTCGGAACCTTGGGGAACCTTGGGAACCTTGGGAACCTTGGAAACCTTAGGAACCTTGAAACCCTTCGGAACCTTGGGGAACCTTGGGAACCTTGGGAACCTTGGAAACCTTAGGAACCTTGAAACCCTTCGGAACCTTGGGGAACCTTGGGAACCTTGGGAACCTTGGAAACCTTAAGAACCTTGGAACCCTTGGGAACCTTGGGAACCTTGGGAACCTTGGAAACCTTAAGAACCTTGAAACCCTTCGGAACCTTGGGGAACCTTGGGAACCTTGGGAACCTTGGAAACCTTAAGAACCTTGGAACCCTTGGGAACCTTGGGAACCTTGGGAACCTTGGGAACCTTGGGAACCTTGAGGGAACCTTGGGAACCTTGGGAACCTTGAGGGAACCCTGGGAACCATGGGAACCATGGGAACCTTGGAAACCTTGAGGGAACCTTGGGAACCTTAGGAACCTTGAAACCTTCGGAACCTTGGGGAACCTTGGGAACCTTGGGAACCTTGGGAACCTTGGAAACCTTAAGAACCTTGGAACCCTTGGGAACCTTGGGAATCTTGGAAACTTAGGAACCTTGGAACCCTTGGGAACCTTGGGAAACCTTGGGAACCTTGGGAACCTTGGGAACCTTGGGAACCTTGAGAACCTTGGGAACCATGGGAACCTTGGAAACCTTGAGGGAACCTTGGGAACCTTGGAAACCTTAAGAACCTTGAAACCCTTCGGAACCTTGGGGAACCTTGGGAACCTTGGAAACCTTAAGAACCTTGGAACCCCCTTGGGAACCTTGGGAACCTTGGGAACCTTGGGAACCTTGAGGGAACCCTGGGGAACCTTGGGAACCTTGGAACCTTGGAACCTTAGGAACCTTAGGAACCTTGAAACCCTTCGGAACCTTGGGGAACCTTGGGAACCTTGGGAACCTTGGAAACCTTAAGAACCTTGGAACCCTTGGGAACCTTGGGAACCTTGGGAACCTTGGGAACCTTGAGGGAACCCTGGGAACCATGGGAACCATGGGAACCTTGGAAACCTTGAGGGAACCTTGGGAACCTTGGAAACCTTGGAAACCTTAGGAACCTTGAAACCCTTCGGAACCTTGGGGAACCTTGGGAACCTTGGGAACCTTGGAAACCTTAAGAACCTTGGAACCCTTGGGAACCTTGGGAACCTTGGGAACCTTGGGAACCTTGAGGGAACCCTGGGAACCATGGGAACCATGGGAACCTTGGAAACCTTGAGGGAACCTTGGGAACCTTGGAAACCTTAGGAACCTTGAAACCCTTCGGAACCTTGGGGAACCTTGGGAACCTTGGGAACCTTGGAAACCTTAAGAACCTTGGAACCCTTGGGAACCTTGGGAATCTTGGAAACTTAGGAACCTTGGAACCCTTGGGAACCTTGGGAAACCTTGGGAATCTTGGGAACCTTGGGAACCTTGACAACCTTGAGGGAACCCTGGGAACCATGGGAACCATGGGAACCTTGGAAACCTTGAGGGAACCTTGGGAACCTTGGAAACCTTAGGAACCTTGAAACCCTTCGGAACCTTGGGGAACCTTGGGAACCTTGGGAACCTTGGAAACCTTAAGAACCTTGGAACCCTTGGGAACCTTGGGAACCTTGGGAACCTTGAGGGAACCTTGAGGGAACCCTGGGAACCATGGGAACCATGGGAACCATGGGAACCTTGGAAACCTTGAGGGAACCTTGGGAACCTTGGAAACCTTAGGAACCTTGAAACCCTTCGGAACCTTGGGGAACCTTGGGAACCTTGGGAACCTTGGAAACCTTAAGAACCTTGGAACCCTTGGGAACCTTGGGAATCTTGGAAACTTAGGAACCTTGGAACCCTTGGGAACCTTGGGAAACCTTGGGAATCTTGGGAACCTTGGGAACCTTGGGAACCTTGAGAACCTTGGGAACCTTTACTTGGGAACCTTTTCTTGGAAACCTTTACTTGGGAACCTTGACTTTGGAACCTTTACTTGGGAACCTTGGGGGAATGGGTTTTGGAGCTGCTCCGGTCTACTCCGAAACCTTTACTATGGCTGAAGACCCCAAAGCTTCTGCTGTTGGGGAAAAACAAAAAAAATGGTGATGTCATGTGATGTTCCATCATTTTCATTCCTTTTTTTCCTTTACCCCGTTTAAAAATATGGGGATGGGTCAAAACCCTATCCCCCTGGTGAACATCAAAATAGCTGGTAAATGGATGTTCATCCCCCTAAATATGGTATGTATAGGTATTGACCCATACCCATATGGCCTTCAAGGCATGGCAAACCCCCTGGTGGGCCTGTGATGGGAGCACCTTTTCCATCGCAGCTGCCACTTTGCCCCAACCAACTGGTGACCGTGGCGAAATCCTCGCGGAAATCTCCATGGAACCAGGAAGGAAACCAGAAATTCTTGGAGCCAGTGGAAGATGATGTGGGTAAGAGATGCGAAAATTTTACATCCAAAAAGACATACTATTGGATTTACACATTGTAAAGATATAAACGGATATAATCTAAATGGGCTAAACATCCAAGTACTAAGTTTATCCTTCAAAACACCTGAGGTATTTGTGACTGGAATTTCATTGGCCAAGCGCCTACGGTTCGAGTGTTTGATCGACCCAATCGTAACTTCTGTAGGCGGGTACTGTTTCAACCACACCTTTTGTTCTGCCCGCACATGTCTATGATTAGAAGCATGACCACCTTCACCTGAGTCGGGAAGGACAAATGAAACAGGGTGGGAATGAGATGTTTCAACACGGTGTATGAAAGCCTCAACCTGTCTTCATCACCAGAACATTGCAAAAACACCAGTCCTGCTTAAAGTCTTTCACCTTGCTCTCCGGCATAGACTGGTACCATGCCTGGCTGCAAGTTTCTCAATTGGTTACCAAGAGGTGATACTTCTGCCATCAGCAAAGGCGCCTTGTACTCGCCTGCCCAAATAGGTAGACCCGACAAGGGTGTGTCCTTCCGCATGGAAAATAGGGCAAAGTAAAATATCCCATCATATTCAATAGGTATGGGTTGGTATGAGTCAAATTCTCAACCCTAAAAAATCAATGGATTAGATTAACAACAAAACGTGTGGGTCCATTATACCCCGATTTTGACCTATCCACAGATTTCTGTTTCCACCGATGCTATCAGAAAAACAAGAACTGGGCTTGTAGTCCCACTGAACAGATAGGTACTGGCAAAGAAACCTAAGGATTGGTGTATTTTAACTATGTTATGATATTTACTAGAGTTGATATCTATGCAATTATCCTTAATAAGTTGTGTAGAACTGCATAACAATGATATTCACAAGCCCAGGGGTATAAGTGTCGGGATCCATCACCGTCCGAGAACAGAACCTGCCAAGAGGAACCTACACGTCGCGGGTCATGTTCCCAGCTGCTCACGTGTTAGCCAAAGATTTAAGTCCCGGCAAAGCCACCCCATTTTAGGCATGTCTAGTTTGACCATCGTTTAACCATATCTAACTTTAATAACTTTTGGGGCCAGGCACCATCTCATCCCCCATACTTCCACCCTTGCTCTACCCTCAGTTTGTCCTTCAATGGCTCCAGCACTTGACTGCAAATCACGTCCTCGGTGGCGCGCTTGGCCCATTGCTATGGAGGATTTGGAGGGTAGTCCTTCTTGGTCCAATGCCGTCTAGGCTCTGAGGTGTCCTGTGTGTTGAAGCCCAAGGCCCAGCGGTTTTGCAATGCTTCCTTCAGGTCGTGCTGTGGCTTGTAGTCGAAGAGCTCTGGCTTCAAGGCTCCCTGCGCTGGACTCCCTGACTTTGAGGACTGCAGAATCCACCTTTTGGGATGTAGATTCTAGGTGTGTACAAAGTTTACGGCATATTTTGGCCAGCTTGGTTTAAAGGTTGCAGAGGTATTGAAAGAATGCAGGCAACCTTTCACACACCCACCAGTGCTCTCAACCTGACCAACCCACCCCCAAGAAGCGAAGGAACTCAAAGGGGGATGTTTGAAGCCAATCTAAAACGATAGGAAAATGGTGGTTGCAACAAACATAACAAACACCTTTCACTTAAAATGCAGCTATTAACGCAGCAAAACATCAACGTTTCAAGTTGCCCTCAACAAACTCAGAAGTGAGTCATGTGCGCATAAATTTCTAAACACCATGAAATGTCACTGAAATGTCATAAAACATGTTGACATGGCTATCTCATGGTATCTCCACTCTCCGTTGTGTGTCGGCACCAGGACGAAATCATAGAAGAAGCCCAAGGCTGCATGGTTCCCCACCGGCACCTGTCGCATTTTGGTGACCATCTTGACCATTTTGAAACCAACATTCTAGGTATCTCTGTATGTGCACATATGTGCATGTAAGTTTATGTTTATGCATACTATTATTTATGTATATTCATGTAGTTACTTAGCTATGTTATATGATCTTATTTTGTCTATTTGCTGGTAGGCAGGTAGATGATAAATAGATAGATCTATGGATCAGTTGATCCACATAGATGTCATATACTTGCAAAACACATATACATCCTAATCATGCATATGCTGCAATGTCCGAGGTACTGTAAGCCTGGGAGGCTTCTTCTTCAGACCTTGCCCCTTTGTGGAAGACTCTATTGGCTGAATGATGAACCCTGAAAGGTCGAGTTCAAATAACTCAAGCAAACAGTGCTCCGTTCCGCCAGACTGATGGCCTCTCCAGCTTTGTTGCCTGACATGGGGCAGTGGTGCTTGGAATTGGCCAAAAATATCCGTGGTTTCACATGGGCAAAGAAGCGGAACTGCCCATGTCGTGCTGCTGCCCAACGCATGCACAGACTTAGGAACACCCCGAGCGAGACGATAAAACAATCATTCCTCGGACAAGAATGTAAGGTTAGGCCGCATAGCAGCTATAGCATCTACACCTCTGGTCCAGTTTGGTTCATTTCCCCTATACCACAGCCTGCCACACTGGAAATGCAGCTTTCGCAGGTAGAAAACGAGTGGACCTCGGATGCTTTGGTCACAATGCTGAGACTGATCTGGTTTCTGGTGGATCTTGTTGGAATTTGGACTAACCAGGTCCTTGAAGGATCTGTCAGAGACAACGCCAGAGCCAAGTTAGCTTCTGGACTTTTTGTCGTGGCTGAATGCTTGTAGAGAGACTCTGCAGAAACTAAGTGCACAATCGGATAAAATATCAAATAGAGATAGAGACTGAACAGAAAAACAGGAAGATGTGGTCTACACGCATCTATATATATATTATATATTATATATATATACATAATGTGTATATATATACACATATATACATATATGTACATTAATCTATACATATAGATGAAAATATGTCTGTAAGTACGTTTCAATGCATGTATGTGTATATATATATATGTACACATGTATGTCTTGGCATATCTTGATTTTGATTTGTATATTTACAATATATATATATATGTATATATATATTGTAAATATACAAGCTCCCGCCCACCGTCAACGGGTTCGTCGCTACATCCAGGTCACCACAGTGAAGGGCGGCTTGGGCCCAGCCAACTTCAGGTCACTCTCGGCACTAAGGGCACCGTCTAAGGCGCTCAGCAGGACCTTCGTGTAGTACCTGGGTGGGGACCCCCAAATTGTCACCCGTTGATGGCCATTTTTTCAGTGGAAACGAATGGTTTTCATGAGGGAAGCTAGAAAGCCCATTTTAGGAAACACCCAAATGGTGGGGGAGCATCATGAAGCCACAAAAGTTGGGATTCAACGCAACAAAGTTGGGGATTTCAATTGATTTCATGTGATTCCATCAGCATCAACAAAGATCGGGATTCAACATATCCAACCAATAATACATGTAAGGTTGAGCAACAAACAGAAATTTTGTTGTGTTTGGAGACAAGAAAATGCCATCGAAGCAGCAGGAGATACGGCGAATTACCTCCACAAACCATGCGTATAGGGTCTGCACACTGCAAATTCATAGATTGACATAGATTGACCACAAAGCAAAGGACCTCCTCTATTGAAATCTTGATCAAGGCTCCAAGCTGATCACCCTGTCAGTTCAACTTTGCGCAGCCAAGATGCCCTTTGCTCAAGGACTCTTTGGCAATTTGGCCTTGGTAGGTGATCTTCAGCTCTGGTTCGTTGATCAGAATGATCGCCTGAACAGGGCGTCACAACGTCACAAGTTGGTCATCCCTAGCCAACTGGCCAACTGGACCCAAAGTTTGGGAGATCTACGGTGGATCACGGTACCGCCATGGTGGACTCGTTCTGCAAAATTCGCCCACCTCGATGGCTGGATGGTACTGCGCTTCTCCGCCGTTCTTCATATCTCTCCACACAAAGCCGTTCGCCAGCATGGCGCTAAACTGCTGCCTGCCACCAGGGAGTTGGAGAGAATGCCAAGCGGGATTCCAGACTTCCAACTTCCAGATTTGATGCAAACATATGGGTCTGAAAATAGTGTACCCCTAAAGCCAATGGTTTTGCTGATCATTATCCCTATTAAATGGCTATAATTGGGAATATACCCTATTTTCAGACAAACCCATATACCAACACTATCCAACACTAAGCAAACACCAAACTGCTTCCAGCACGGCTCAACCAGCCAAGGAGGGTCCCACCTCACTTCGGCGAAGCAAGAGTAGGGTGGAGCGGTGGCGCACATGCCGTCGGGATCCTGGGTGTATGGCCAGTCCGAAAAGGCCTTGGCACAAAGCAGAAACACTCACAGAGGCTGGGACTGGTGAGATTTGATGTTTCCCTACACTCTCTAAGAGCCAGATCTTCTGGCACTTGCAGTCGGATCATCGCTTTCAAATGTTTTATATCCATTTTCGCAATAAACAAACCAAGAATGAATTAAACGCCAACCTGAAAAGGTGCGAACTGACGTTTACCCTGGGGTGTCGCTCTCCTGAGGAATCATAGTGAGGTCCCTAGGATCCCCCATGTGTGGTTCATGCTCATCTGGACATATCTGGACTCCATATTCTCCAAGAGATCACCAAATCTGCCAAGCGGCCACGACTACCTTGAGCCCCAACGCCTTGCAGCGATTCAGGAAACCCACATGGCTCAGTCGAGGATCGTTGCCATAGACGCGCAGGACTCTGAAGCCCCTGAGCACGGATATATGGGTGGACAACCCCCCGTTGGTTTGTTGATGCACCAAAATCAAGCCACTGGTTTCAAGGTTTACACAATTTGTGGCAGAACCACTGGACCATGAAGCATGGGAATATATTATACAAGAACATGTGTGTGTAGAAGTTGGAATATCACCAGAATCTAGCCGCCACAACAAGCGGTTAGGGCCCCAGGCATCTGTCGAATGGCGTTCAGATCGTCTCGATTAGATCCTCCGGCGCCCCACAGGGGTTGAGCCCACTTGGCCATATAGTCATCCGTTGGCAGCGTGGTCACGTTCTTCGCTGGCGTGGGGGCATAGCACCTGAAATGAGCGGCTGAAACTGCCATGGTTTTCAAGGACTGTGAAGGTGTCGATCAGGCCAAAGTCAAGTCTTTACAGTTTCGAAATCGAGTTGCATTTACGGCTACCAAAACTCCAACATCCTAGCCAAAAAGATGTCTTATACTCGTAGTTCCAGAAGCAACAGAAGCCTTTTTTATCGCAGCATGATTTCAGCATCTGACGATGATTCGATGATCCAAGTTGTGACATGGCAACCCCGAGGCACATCCCGTGGAAAGGTGACAGATTGGTTTCAGCATTGATTTGGCTGCCTCGATGGGACACACTGGGATGGCTGGTTATCCCGACCTCACCCCTTGAGGATAGAAAAAAAGTCATATGACTGGTGGGTTGACGTACCTGTTCGGGACAATTTGAACCAGGTACGGGTGATTTTGGATTCTTGACCTTGACAATGTACAATTCACTTCCTGGAGCAAAAGTCAGAAACAATGAAGTCTTTAAGTCTTCTTGAACAAGCACATTTTTGCCTGTGACTACATTTACAGCGGAGTCAGTTTCCGTCATTCAAAGTGACCTATATAACAGGGAAGAAAATAGGGAAGTGAAGGAGTTACGAAATATATAAATAAAATGGCGAAGAACCTAGGGAAGAAATTACGGAATAAAATAGGGAAGAAACTGCGAAAGAAAATAGGGAAGAAAATACGAAATAGAATGGGAAAGAAAATAGGGAAGAAAATAGAGAAGAAATTACGGAATAAAATAGGTAAACTACGGAACAAAATAGGTTAACTACGGAATTACATAGGGAAGAAATTAAGCAACAAAATGAGAAAAAATAAAGAAGAAAATAGGTAAGGAATTACGGAATAAAATGGAAAATGAAATGGGGAAGAAAATTGGAAAGGTGTTAGAGAAGAAAATAGGCAAGAAGATCAAAAGTTGCCCACTTGATATCCCGGACTGCCTTGTATTGCATTTTCTGGCATTGTGGATACTTATCATGTCACGGCCTGACGCTCAAGGAGTGCAAGATTGTTACAGAAACATGTATTTGCCAGTTTCACAATATACTGAGTCTGTGAAACCTAACGTGCTGTGGGGGTCGTGATTGCTTTCCACATATTCGAACTTTCCCGTAAGTACAAGAAAATCTTAGACATGTTCGTCCTAGTTTCTTCCCTAATCTGGAATACAATGAATCCTTCCTGGGGCATGGCCCTTCCCATTATTCCAAGCCATTTCAACGAAGTCTTGCCCGAGAGGCAGCATCCCATCAGAATTCCAGCGTTCGTAGGACAGCAGTCCCCCTGCTGATCTGCACAGTTGGTGTGAGCCGAGCAGGCGGCTGGATATGGTTTGGCTGCAGGCTTCGCTGGCTCGGAGGCAGGAACCACCACTTTGGCAGGGAAGGCCAACCTGCAGCTTTGAAGTGCTGAGAGACTGAGAGACTGAGAGATGGCCATGGGAAAAAAATGTGTCAGCTGAGGGACATAATGATGAGGGTGGTCAGCACGGAGGAGCCCAGCACGCATAGCGTACTCATCTGACCTTAACTCAAAGCGGCGCGGTGCATTGACAGCCTTAGTGGGTTGCGACTCTATGTGTCACCTATACAGTATCAACTTACATCTATCATCATCTCTATCTCGGCCTAACATGACCCGACATGGTCAAAACTCCATGCTTTGGTGAGTGATGAGCAATTCAAAACCAACCAATTTGCGTGGGATTTCCTGACCTACGTTGTGAGATCATGCCTGGGCACATTGCTGCCGGCGCTGCTCTTGGATGGTCTCGGCTGTCCGAATTTCGCCCATGACCATGGCAGGGATGGCAGGGCAGTGCCGTGCTGAGTTGGGAGTTGGGAAAATGTGGTGAATGACAGGGAATGTTGAAGATGTGTTGAAGATGTTGAAGATGTTGAAGATGTTGAAGTGAAGAGTCTGTGTCTGAATGTTGAAGTGTTGAGCTGGATGTGGGCTCCGACCTCTGGCTCGCTTGCTCTGGCTGTCATCTGTCCATCTTTGAGGCAAAATGCTATCAAGGAAGCACTTGCCGGAAATCTGTGTCGTAAAAAAACTTGAAATGCCCCTTTCGGATGTGCCCTAGTGCAATTGAACGACCAACTCTCGAAATCCAGAAAATGATGGGTCCAGCAATTGATTGTTTCTTGCTTAGCAAGTCTCCTTGGAAGACCTACTTTAGATTTTCACCCAACTGAAACCAATGGAGCACATCTGGCAGATGCTGGAAGAAACAATTCCCTGGCAAGTCGAAGTGTGGATGAAGCAGGGAAGGGTGCGTGCATATGTCTACTCTAGGTGTTCCGCTTTCTGATTCTCTTACGTCCAAGGTCATATGAGTCATATGTATCAGGAGCCTCTGTGGCCTCGAATGGGCATTCGAAGGCATCGTGGCTTTATTCCCTGATGTAATTCCAGCCCAGCCCTGCTAGACGCAGGCACCACATCTGGCCTTTTGGGGATCCAAACTCATTCATTGAGTAAAAGATTTCGGAGGACCGACAGTCCTTTCAAACCCAAAAGCATTGCATTCTGAAAGCGGGCGCCTCCGGCAATCATTCATCGCAATGCAGGACCGAGCACTTATGCTGTTCGGTTGTTGACATGTCAGGGCATACGGCATACGTGTGATCGCAAAGCTTGGCACAGCTAGTCTGTATAGGTCTGCAAAACATAATGGTGTAGCCCATGGGGTAGAAATGTGATGAAAGCCAGTTTTCAGTGCAGTTTTGGCGTTGGGTTTTGTCAGCACAGCCTCCAGAGCCTTGCTTACAGCTGCAGACGGCAGGGAACATCACTGAAGCAGCTCAAACAACCAGCATTTCCTGAGAAAAATCTCAGATGCTACGCACGCAAGCATTGCATCATCGAAGGTGACCCCACCAACCCGTCCATATCTTACGTAGAATGTATATGCTAATATGCATATTTATGTATTGTGTATATAAAGTTATGTATACATACATTACATTACATTACATTGCATTGCATTGCATTGCATTGCATGGCATGGCATGGCATTGCATTGCATTACATTACATTACACTACATTACATTACATTACATTACATTACATTACATTACATACATACATACATATATATATATATACATGGATAGAGTGTCACATATATATCTATTTATACTTATACATATTATATATATATATATGCATATACATTATGTACGTTCTATTTTATATATATATATGTGTGTGTGTACAGTATACCGTATACCTATGTATCGGCAGGCCCAGAGTTTATGTTATCACTCTTGTCTTTCCGTCATCCTCCAAAACCCCCAGGACCTCCAGAAAGGGTCCGAGCTCAGGGTCATCCAGGGCGCCATAGATCACCAGAACCCCACTGGAAGTCGTGCCCTGCAGGTTCTTTGGGTGGCTGGGCTGGCGGCTGGGGCAGCAATAAACCCATTGCATTGCAACATCAGAGCAGTTCCACGCCTGAGCCAACGTCAAGTCAAGGCCTCACGTGAAACAAAATAAAGGTATGGTAAGAAGATACAAATCAGCGGGTGAAAATATGACACTGCTCAACTCCAAAAGTGGTCTTATTTTGATCTGCTTTCATCTATTTCACCACCATAGACTTTGATAGCAAACTCAACTTTCATGTGTCTGTCTGTCTGTCTGTCTGTCTGGCTGGCTGTCTGTCTGTCTGTCTGTCTGTCTGTCTGTCTTGGTCCATTTTCGGTGATGGCAAGCAAATGTGGTGATTCAGTCTCAGAATCTTCCAGGATGTCCATGGTGTTTTCTGTCCGAGGATTGCTAAAGAGATGCCATCAAATTCACCTATAGACCCTCGGCTTTCAAGGCCCCAAACGGCTCGCGGTGAAGTGGTCGCTGGGGCCTCCAGGTGCTTCGATCATGGAACTGTTGATGAAACCCTTAAGGAATCCTCAAAATTCATCTTGCGATCAACGGGATGTCCATCCCTTCGACTGTTGACCCATGTTAGATACCAACCATTTTGGCTGATTACATCTGATTACTATATTTCTCCATGTAAATTGCGAATGTATGGCCAAAACAACTGCAAACAGTCAAGCCATTGACACCGTCGAGTTTCTTCCTTTCTTCCAGAGCAAGATCCATCCAAATCATTCCAAATCTATGTTAGTGAAATATCGTGAAATATCGTTTTTATTGGTGAAGCTCCACTTTTCGTAGCTCTTTCAGACCCTTTCAGAAATGGTCACTGCTCCAGGCTCACCTTTGGACACGCGGGACAGCTCCAAGCGAAGCTCCTTCACCTCAGTGCCGGCTTCGGATCGTTTATCAGCAGAGGAAAGGGATTTCATCCAGAGAAATTGTAGGAATTAATAGGAAATCAAGATGAATTTAGATGAATTGACAGGAATTAACATGAATTAACAGGAGTTAGCAACATTTAACCAGCCAAAACAGAGATTGACATTCCCAATTCACAGAAGATTGTGGGATTCTTGTGGGATTACAGTAGCCTCTGGCCTTGAATACACACTGGCTAAGCAGCATGACTCCGGATGACACGAACAAAATGATATTGACCGTGCAGGATGCACCCCAAAAACACTGTGGAATCCTGAAAGTTAATCAAGTCATCATGTCGCATTGATGTTGTGCAAACATTCCGCAAAATGTCCAGTACTTGCCACCTGCTTTCTAGTGTTCCTTCTCACCAGAAATCTGCACAAGTGAGTGCAGTTGTAGAGTCCAAAAGTCCAAACAGGACAATTCAAGCACATATCATTGGCAATGTTTGTGTTGTTGTTGAAGGAATCCCAGTATTTTGAAATTTCATCCCCATATATATATATTGTGCATTATTTCGTGAAACTTCAGCTTCTGAGGTTCCGCGCATTGCAAGCCACAGAGGGAGTAGTGGAATGATTCCGCCTACAGTCTGTTCAGCACATGGGTCGGTCAATCACTACGGCACTATCGGAATGGGGGCATGAACGTCCAGAAAAGAAAGAGTTGTTTAAATATGTTCAAATGCGGAAACTTGGGCACCAGGGTTTTGACTCATCTCCAACATATCCACATCACAACATTGCAAAGTTCAACCCAATTCTCTGTGAGGTCTTTTGGCTTGGGCCAAACACACCAACTGAGCAGTCCATCAGCATGAAACAAATTGCCACCTGTTTCGTATCAATGCGGTGATCCATGCAAAAATACAGCGTTTTTGCAACATGAAAAAAAAATAAACATCCATCCACTCCAGCTATTTCAGAAAGTAAAACTATCTATCGCGATGTATTCTTCAATATGTAGAAACGTTTTACATCAAATCAACACACATCTACATATGTATACAAAAGTTCTCACATGCGTATGTATCTACATATATATATAGTACATATGTCTATACTATACATCTATATCCCAAACTGAAACTCTATCCAAGTCAGCATGGAATCCTTGATTCCTCGCTCATTCCTTGGGTGCTCCAGCCAAATCAACGCCCAAGGCCGTCTGGACATCGCATCGCAACGCTGGCCTGGGCACCAGGTCACCAGGGATCATCAGATTTTTTTTCCAACTGGTGCAGGATTTCGCCAGTTTGTGTCGATATCTATATCATGGTACATACACGATGTTGCATGTACGTGTATAACCTTTTGCCCATATTCGTCTTTTGATACATAGAGTTATATTAGTACACATGTACATTGAGAGAGATGGAGACGGTCTAAATCTCAAAATCATACATATCAAAGTCCTGGTAAACACAAAGGGCTGAAACACGGGTCAACGGCGAAGGATGCTGCAGATATCCAGAAACAAATCACTCTTTCTGTGCAGGCTGGGTCATAAATCTTTTGAAGTTGAATGTCGCTTGACCTTCATACATGATATATATATATATAAACACTCTCTATGTACATACATATATAATGTGTATGTATGTATATTTATATATATATTTATGTTTATATGTATATGTATATTTATATTTATATTTATATTTATATTTGTATTTATATTTATATGTATATTTATATTCATATTTATATTTATATTTATATTTATATTTATATTGTATATTTATATTTATATTTATATTTATATTTATATTTACGGTATACTTATATTTATCCATCTACACCTGTTTGGAAATCATGTCCTGTTCCAGCCGCAAATTCTGCCAAAGGGCCGTAGAGCTTCCTGGCACACGGTTGCAGCATGTTGCAGGTCTGGTACCATCAGTGGCTAGACGTGCCATGTAGGTTCAATCAAATCTGTAGGTTCTCAGACTTATCAAACCCACATTTGCTCGAGAACAAAGGACATCTTTTAAGTGTAGGGCTAAGGTCATCTACAACAACTAACCCGCTGCCTACTAACAAGATTTGCCCACAAGGGATCCTTCCATCCCACAAGGGCGCACCGATCGATGCGCTCCAAAGATCTCAAGGACTCGATTCTCGGCGAATCTCAGTCGCGCCATGAATTGCTCTGCATTCGGCACGAATCAACTAAACTGCTACACGACACAATACTGTCTCACTGCCCAAAAAGTCAAAACTACGGAGCCTTGTTTTACTTTTCCTCTGCTTTCAGTACTACAATTCTCTAGGATCTTTTGGGATTAAAGTCTGAAACCGCTCAACTTTCTCGGCCACCCGACAGTAAGAGTTGTGCATCAGCAACTCATGGTACGTTCGAGCCGAGCTCGACTTCAACAGGGCCTGTCCCATGATTTTGAGGATCCAAAAGGATAAAAAAACTGGGTCTGAAACTCTGCTCCAAAATCCCATCGTTGATGGGGGCCTCAATGGGAGTGCTACGG